AAAACCAACAACATCATAGTATATAAATAATACCCGAAGACAATGGGAACAAGGGCCAGGAGGTTTGGTCCCAGATAAGAAGCTTACCACATAGGGGAAGGGGAAGGAGAAGAGAAGGACAGAGAAGGGACCACTATGGCAATGATAGTTGGAAATGATCACTCTGGACACAAACTGGGTGCCTAAAAGGGAAGGAAGGAGGGAGGGAGGGAGGGATGGAGGGACGGAGGGAGGGATGAAGGGAGGGAGGGAGACAGGAAGAGGAGGCAAACTGGGGACATTAATTGGTGCTGGGTAATGTGCACTGGTGAAGGGACAAGTGTTGGAATATTGTATGACTGAGACAAGGTCATGAACAACTTTGTAACTGGATATCTCATGGTGATTCAATAAAAAATAATCAATAAACCCAGGGTCTGTATGTAATGAACATCTAACAAAAAAGACAGCGGGGCCAGAGAGATTGCGCGATCTCTGAGTGTATGCTCTGCATAGGGAAACCCAGAGTCCATATCTAACACCATAAGGTCTCCTGACACTTGCGTGCAACCTCTGAGCATCACCAAGTATGACCTAAAAGCTCCCCCCCCAACTTTTTTTATAAAAAGAAAAACACAAAGTTTTAGAGAATTATTAAAAGAACACTGACATAGAAGCAATCAAACAAAAAGAAACCTGATCTGCAAATCAGCATAAAATACACTCAACCTCCATGGCCAGAGAGATAGTACAGCAGGCAGGGCACTTGCTTTGCTTGTGGTTGACCCAAGTTCAATCCCCGGCAATGTCTATGATCTTCCCGAGCCCCGCCAGGAGTGATCCTTCAGCAGAGAGCCCAGAAGAAGCACTGAGCAGTCAGGTGTGGCTCAGGAGTTAAAACCAAAAACTCTTGGAGTTTTCTCCGTGACCCAAGGATGTTTTCTAACACTAGAATCTCCCAAGATGAAACTTTCAAACAACAGGTGTGATCTCTGGGGATAGGGGATGCGGCGGGGAGGTCTATAATGGTCCCATTTAGGTAATTTCTCTCTGATAAAAAGTGGAGGGCAAGTGTTTGTTCCCTGTGGACTATTTCCACAGGCCTCCTAGCCCTAGTATTCGGTCCACAGAATCTGATTCACTTGTCCAGGGCAAGTGGACTACCTACAGGACAAGGGCTATTGGCCTTTTCCTTGCATCTGTAAAAGATACACTTGAAAATGCTATTCTGGGGGCTGGAGCGATAGCACAGCGGGGAGGGCGTTTGCCTTGCACGCGGCCGACCCAGGTTTGATTCCCAGCAACCCATATGGTCCCCGAGCACCGCCAGGAGTAATTCTTGAGTGCATGAGCCAGGAGTACCCCCTGTGCATCACTGGGTGTGACCCAAAAAGCAAAAAAAGAAAAGAAAGAAAATGCTATTCTGCTTGGACCAGAGCAATGCTGAAAGCAGAGTGACTGGGGGGTGGGGTGGAGTGTATACTTCCAGATTAAATTTTTTTAAAAAATCAAACCCAGTTCTAGAAGCAAGGTCAGAGCCATGAGATTAATAAGGAGAGGTCACTGCGCAGGTACTGGCAGGTACTGGCAGTATGTGTCAAAGGGAATGGGGCAGTCAATGGCCAGGAGCTTGGAGTCACAGCGCTGGCAACTGCAGGAAGAAGACATAATTGCTGAGGGAGCAGCTGTAACAAGCCGAACTGAAAATGTTGAGTCTTAAAGAAAACAAGGATTACAAGACAATGTCTCTGTGCGATCTGCCCTTGTGAACTCCTTTGTGCAGATAACAGTCTCTGTCCCTCACATGCTTTCCTTAGAGCAATTCTCTTAAATCACGGTGTTCTTTATACTGTGGAGCTAATGGGAACTTCCTAGGGGAGCAGACAGAAAGGGAAGAAAGCAGATACCCTGGCTTAGCCAAAAGGAGCAGCAAATTACCCCCACAGTCAACAGAGAGAGACTGGGAGGCTAAATTACACTTGAATAGATTTTATTTAAAGTGTCCAGTGACAGAAGAGTGGATAAAGAAGGCAGAGCACACACACACACACACACACACACACACACACACACACACACACTGGAATAGGACTCAGCTGTAAGGAAAGATGAAATCTTGCCTTTTGCTCCAACAGGGATGGAACAGGAGCAAGTTGTACTAAAGTGAAATAAGTTGGGAGAAAGACGAAGACCAGATGTTTGCACTCATATGTAGGGTGTTTAAAGAAATAGCAAGGGAAGAGACCAGATCCAGTGAAAACAAACCCTTCAACTCTGAACACAGAATTGAGGGTAGCAAGAGTGGGGGTGGGCAAAAGGAGAGAGAGAACAAAAGGGAATGCCCTGCCACAGTGGCTGGGGGGATGGGGGGGGAGGGATATTATCCTGGTGGTGGAAAATGGGCACTGGTGGAGGGATGGGTATTTGATCATGGTATGACCGAAATCCAAGCACAAAAATTTGTAAATCTACAACTGTACCTCATGGTGTTTCACTAATAAAAAAAAAAATGGAAAAAAAAAGTGGGGGTGGGGTATGTGGTATGAATGTGTTGAAAAGGTGTAAAGAAAGGACGGATATTGGCACTTTGGCAATAGGTGTGGTGTAATAATATACTCCAAAAATTATAAATACACTCTTGTAAACCATATAAACTCAATAAAAGTTTTAAAATGCTCAACACTTTATTAACCAACCCCTTTTAAAAGTTAAATTTTCTCCTGTAAGCATTTTCCTAACCAATTGAAAGCATGCATGAAAGTTATTGAAATGTAACATCTAGTAAGAAAACTGACTAGCAAAAGTACGAGGTTGGAAGGATTTCCTTAAACTGAATGTCTACATTCATGTAGTCAAGTCCCTGAAGCACCTCTATAAAGAGCATCCGCTGGGGGCAGGGAGACCATGGGAAAGGGTGGAACTCACAGTTGGCATGAGGGATGCCTGGGTTCAATTCCCAGCACCCTGAACACACCAATTATACTTCGTGTGTGAAGTCTGAGGACACTTAGCACTAGGACACTCAGTATACAGTTAGTACACTTAGTACACTTAGTACACTAAGTAGTAGTATGCCAAGTACTAGCACACCAAAACAAATTTTCATCAATGACAAAGTTTAGAAAGAAGGCAAGCTTCAAAAAGTTTATTTAATGAATTGTTAATGGTATAATCATTCAGGCAGTCTGCATATGTGGAAGGACAATGACAGATGAAATGATAGCACTTCACTGCAGCTTGGTGCACCTGATAGCTTTCTCCTACTGGTTTTTGTGACTTGTTGGGTTTTTTTGGTTTGAGCGTCACACCTAGCCAAACTCAGGGACTACTACCAGCTAATACTTGGGGTTTCCTTGGGAGGATATACAGTGGCGAGGATCTAATTCAGGTCTTAGACATGCAAAGTATGCACTCCAACCTTTTTTTTTTTTTTTTTTTTGCTTTTTGGGTCACACCTGGTGATGCACAGGGGATACTCCTGGGTCTACACTCAGGAATTACCCTTGGCTCAGGGGAACATATTGGATGCTGGGAATTGAACCTGGGTCAGCCGTGTGCAAGACAAACGCCCTACACTCTGTGCTATTGCTCCAGCCCAGAACTCCAACCCTTTAGGCTATCTCCCCAGCTTACTGTATTTTAAATCCCAACAGAGGGAGATAATGGCAGGAGTTATTTAACAGTCTATAGACTAGTGGTTAAAGCAATTTTCAAACTTCCCTCCACCTGCAAATTACCAGTTGTCCTGCATATGGTCCACAGAGCAGCAGTTATAACCCAAGCCATAAACTAGTGATTTTCAACCTTTTTCCACCTGTCGACCAGCACTCGTCTATCGTCTGGTGGTTGAAGATAACTGTTTTAGGCTATGCAAAACAAAAAAAAAAAAGAGGCCTTGACACTTGTATTAAAACAGTACTTAACTCTTGCCCATTACTCTTTGTGTGACGCATTTCATGAGTATTTTGTATTTGATGTGGTTGTCAATACTTAGCTAGATAATCAGTGTATTGACATATCTCTGACAATAGTTTCTGCCTTTCTGACTTTAGACCAAAATTTTCAAAGTACTTGTGGAGAGGGATGAGTCTCTCATTCACAGAACAAACCGGGATGGCAATATGACTTAGGTTTGGATTTGGAATAGCCTGGTTGGACTCACATTCCGAGGTCAAGTGACCAGGTAAGGTCTGAAGAGAGCTCAATGGGCAGAGTCAATGCATACGATGCTCCCGGTGCATTTGACACCACACGGAACTCTGAGCACTGCTGGAAGCAACCCCCAAGCACAGAGCCAGACTATACCGAGTCTGGGTCAAAAACAAGAGCAGGACAAATTAGACACTCAATTTTAAGATGCATATATATGTATACACACACACACACATTTGCCATTTGATTAACAGATCTTTTTATTTTACTTCAAGTTTGTGTCTGCATCTAAACTGTATATACTAAGGAAGGAAATGGTATCTTTTTCTTGGAGGGGGAGACTCCAGTAACAGGATAATATTCTGTTAAAATAGAGTTTTTTTAAAAGCTCTATAGCAAGTCATCAGACATATATCCAATACCCAGGGGGAATGTCTTTTTTGGGGGGTCTCCCAATAGAGCTCCAGAGACATTGGGGTTTCTCCAGGAAATACTAGGTTCAGTACTACTCAGGCCCAATCATGCTGGGGGCCTCCAGGACCACCCTGGAATGCTCAGGGAACCATGTGGTGCTGGGAATCAAACCTGGGACCTCTGCATGCCAGGCAATGCCCAGCCTTTTGAGTTATCTTGTTTTGCTTTTTACCAATGCGTGGGAATCTCTCCTGGTAGCGCTCAAGGATGCTCGAGATGCCGACGGTTCATTTCCTGCATGCAAAGCAAGTGCTCCAGTCCTTTGAGTTACCTCCCTGCATCACGGGAACAACAACAGCAAAACACCTTCTTGCAGCTCAGTTCAAACTGGCATCATGCTACATTCCATGCACTGCTGCTCCCTGCGTGTGTAGGAGGAAGACCTGGAAAAGGTGTCAGTTCCCTTTGTGTTTTCTCTTGGATAACAGCAAGAGCAAAATGCAGTGCGTCAGGGGGAAGACGCTGCCGTAAGAATTCCACAGCAGCCAGAGGGAGGAGAAGCTCCTGCCCTCCACGGCCAGCAGGATATAGGCGACGGTGAGCTGCGTGTGCAGCCAGGCCAGAGCCCGGTAGAGCAGCCCCAAGGCCCGGGAACGCGGGCAGAGCCGCGCCCAGGCGTGGATCCGGCGGTCCGCCTGCACCGCCAGCGCCCAGCACAGGAACCCGAACACCTGGCCGGGGTGCAGACCGTGCCACCAGGCCGAGAAGGCGAACGTGCGCCACAGGGGCCAGGCCCGGCTGCGCTGGAAGACGAGGCGCCGCAGCCAGCGAGCGGTGCTGTGGTTCCAGGTCCTGGCGAACAGGGACAGCCTGTGGGTGCTTTCCAGGGTCCAGATGTCAGCGTCAGACCCCTCCTCCCCGGGGCTCTGGTCAAGGTCCGGCGCCAAGCCTGCGGCCCGGAGGAGGCCCTCGTCCAGGAGCCAGTGGGAGTAGTAGGTGAGCTTGAAGAGGCCGGCGCCGGACCACAGCGCCCAGATGCACTGGACCCGCCGGCAGTCGGCCAGCCCCGCGCGCGCGCGCACCGCCTCCGCCAGCACCACCCGCAGGCTCTGCAGGCCCAGAATCTGCACCGCGCTCCGGGCCAGGGGCCAGAAACAGCGTCGGCGCTCGCCCCCGCGGGACCCGTGAACCAGAGCCCTAAAGCCCTGGAAGGAGCGCAGCGGGCCCCCGAGGAGCGCGGGGAAGCAGAGCAAGTAGCTGAAATAGGGCAGCGCCGCGCCCAAGCGCGCAGACCAAGAGCGCCTGCCTCCCGGGCTGCCCCACGCCGTGTCCACACTCCCCTCAAGGATGTCCAGCGACAGAGACGTGGCTCTCTGGGTCAGGAGCATGAGGGCAGAGAGAGTCATGCAGAACCTGAAAGAGATGGTTACGTTTTGGCTGGGTGTAGGGGGGCGGGCGGGGCGGGGGGACACACCGTTGGTGCTGAGGGTTGACTCCTGGCTCTGTGCTCAGGCATCACTCTCAGTGGTGCTAAGGGGACCCTAAGCGGAGCGGGGAATCGAACCCAGATCGGTTGCATGCAAGGCAAACGCCTTACCCGCTGCACTGCATCTCTTGTCCAGATGCTTTTTTTCCCTCTAAATAAAAACACGATCTTAAGAAATCTCGGTTCAGTCCCACAGAAAATGGGTACTTCTGAATGATGAAGACCCGTCTCCTGACCAGCACAGCGCCATCCCCCCCCCCCCATCCCACCCCCGCAAAGCCTCTGATATTCAATCTGAACCCCAGGTTACTTACTGCAGAGCAAAAGGCAAATAAATGGGGGACATTAATCAGAGATGTAATTAGAAAAATAACAATGAATATTGTGGGGGAAACCATTGGTTCTACTGTTTCTAGCCTGGAAGAGCAGGAGCAAGAGAGAAATTTGCTCTAGAATGAGTGACTCTGTCATGAAAGACGCTCAAGGGAACTGAACATTGCTAGGCTGAGCCAGTGCTGGTCCATAAGATGCTACTGGCTGCGGTCTTGATACCAAGGACTGTGAGCCAAGCTAGAGGTTTAAAGGAAGCAGGGCCCGGCCCCCACATTGCACTAGGTGGGCGAGCCTAAGCTTGAGAATCTGATTGATATGGAAAAGGCAAAACTGACCTGTGGCCAGCAAAATCCTGCAGCACAAAGCAGCAGCTTCCTCTTCTCACATATGACAGGCCTAGCTAGACTTTGGATGAAACATTCTTTCCCATTTATCACAGACCCAAGTGTGAGGAGGTTTAATAACAGTTACAGTTACAGTTACAGTTTTTGTAACTATGTTTCCGTTTCTGTAACTGCTTATGTTTCCGTTTCTGTTAACCGACTATGTTAATTTATATATTCATAAGCTATTGAATTTCATTGGATGTGATTATAATAAGCCAGAATAAAAAGAAGCTGAGAAGGCTGCTCTTAGTCACGAAACCTGGGCGTGTCTTGTTGATCCTCCGTGAATCATTTAATTTCTTTTGAGGAAAGTTCAAGTTTGAACAACAAAAGGGTGTGCACTGACCCAAAAGCAATTTGCTACATGTTCTTTTTCTTTTCTTTCTTTTTTTTTTTTTGCCTTTTTGGGGTCACACCCAGCGATGCACAGGGGTTACTCCTGGCTCATGCACTCAGGAATCACTCCTGGCGGTGCTCAGGAGACCATACGGGATGCTGGGAATCAAATCCGGGTCAGCACGTGCAAGGCAAATGCCCTATTCGCTGTGCTATTGCTCCAGCACCTATGTGTTCTTTAAAAAAAAAAAAAATAGGGGCTGGAGAGATAGCACAGCGGGTAGGGCATTTGCCTTGCACGCAGGCGACCCAGGTTCGATTCCCAGCATCCCATATGGTCCCCCGAGCACCGCCAGGAGTGATTTCTGAGTGCAGAGCCAGGAGTAACCCCTGTGCATCGCCGGGTGTGACCCAAAAAAGCAAAAAAAAAAAATCACAATGATATACACAGTTACAAAATTGTTCTTGTTTTCTGATTGGGTTTCAGTCACACAATGTTCCAACACCCTTCCCTTCACCAGTGTACATTTTCCACCATGATGGGAAATGTTTTAGCAGACATTTAAGGGCCAGAGAAATGGTACGGAGGCTGAAGCACTTGCTTGGCATGAGGCAGACCCTGATTCAATCCCCAGCACAACATACGTTCCCCCAAGCACCCAAGGAATAAACGCTGAGCATAGCACAAAGCCAGGAGTAGGCCCTAATATGGCCCAAAAGTGAGAAGGAAAAAAGAGATAAAGAGAAATAACAGTTTACTTAACAGCAACAACAAAAGAGGCCTTTGAGACAGAAGGGCTCTAATGGACCATGGCTGGAACCCTCATAATAAAAGCCGGGGACACAGCAGAGAGACCACATAAAAACACTGGCAGAAAACAGAAAGTGGAGATGTCTGGCCAAGGAAAAAGAACACAGAACCCGAGCTTGCCAACACCTTGATCATGGACTTCCAGCCTCTGGAGGAAAAAAAAAAATTGTGTTGCTTAAAGCACCAGCAGGGTAGCTGGAGCGATAACACAGTGGGTAGGGCGTTTGCCTTGTACGCAGCCAACATGGGGCGACCCGGGTTCGATTTCCAGCATCCCGTATGGTCCCCCAAGCACCGCCAGGAGTGATTCCTGAGTGCATGAGCCAGGAGTAACCCCGAGCATTGCCGGGTGTGACCCAAAAAAAGCAAAAATAAATAAATAAATTAATTAATTAATTAAAAAGCACCAGCAGGGGCTAGAGCAATAGCACAGAGGGTAGGGCATTTGCTTTGCACAAGGCCAACCTGGATTAGATTCCCAGCATCTCATATGGTCCCCCGAGCACCGCCAGGAGTAATTCCTGTGTGCATGAGCCAGGAGCAACCCCTGTCTATCGCTGGAAATGACCCACAAAGGGAAAAAAAAAAAAGCACCAGCAGTGTGGTACTTAGCAATGACAAACAAACAAATCTATCAAGTCTGTCGGTCCACCCCGCTGGGGCTCTGCCTTCTGAGCCTGTGCCACTTACTTCTGCAGCACACTGAGTCTTCCCAGCTTCCGTGCCCTGACTCCCTGCATCCCTGCCTCTGCGGCCCTAGCCCCTCCCTGCCCTGTGCTGTCCTGCAATTTCTTCAGAGCAGCCGTTCTCAGAGCCTGTGGTGGGGCTGGATCATGAGGAGGGTTCTGGGTATGGCAGGGGCTGCAGCAATGAATGAATGAACCCGTCTCAGGTCACAAGCACACAGCTGGCCCTGCCTGCCCCGGTCACAGCTCCTGTTCTCCCCCTGAGCTTGAGCATGTGGCGCATAGAAAGCCAAGAGCAATAGACCCGGAGATCAGCGGCACCTGCTCCCCCAAAGCTTGATGAGCTCATCGGTTGCCTCCCCTGGAGCAGGGGGCTGCTTTTCCTCGGGAAGATGGGACAACTGAGGCCCAATCCATGGCAGACTCTAGTGCAGCCACAGCCCTGGGTGGACAGTCCTGGTTGCCTGGACAGTTCTGCCTTCCCTCTTCTGCTGAGGGGGTCAGGGCTGCTGGCTGTGTCACCAGCCACCCACACCGAGGCTCATCGTCTCTTTTAAGCAGGTCGCTCCAGTGTGTGCTAGGACTCCTCATCCCCCACCCCCCACCCCCCTCCTCAGGCTCCCAGTAATGCCAGCTAAGTGCCAAGCGCTGTGCTTGTTAGGCAGTCTTGCTGATTAGGCTCCATGACAGTCATTAGTAGTCCTATAATTGCAAGCGGCCAACATGGCCGACCCGAGTTCGATTCCTCCGCCCCTCTCTGAGAGCCCGGCAAGCTACCGAGAGTATTCGATATGCCAGACACAGTAACAACAAAGTCTCCAATGGAGACGTTACTGGGCCTGCTCGAGCAAATCGACGATCAACGGGAGGGCCTTTATCTCTCTATATTTCTTAACACCCATCTATCTTGCAAGACAGGTATCATTTTCACATGGACATGTGTGTTTGTTTTTCCAGAAAAAGAAATTGAAGTTGAAAGATCAAGCGACTTGTGTAGGATGTAGAATCCATCTGGATTCAGACTCAGTACCCAGGGTTCTTTTTGGGGGGTGAGGGGGTAGCAGCACATCCAATTGTGTTCAAGGCTGACTCCTGGCTTTGAGCTCAGGGATCACTCCTGACAAGGCTTGGGGGGAATCTTATATGGTGCCAGGAATTGAACCCAGGCCGGTCGTGTGCAAGGCAAGCACTTTACCCACTGTCCTGTCTCTCTGATCCAACACCTCCGTTTGTTCTCTTCACCCCCCGCAAAGACCTGGCAAACTTGGGGCAGTTCAGTCCAGCCCAGTGGATGGGCTGCTTTACCTGGGGCAGGGAGGTTCCTGCAGGTAATACTCAGTGTAGTGCAATCCCAGGTGGCACATGGTCTGCCAGCCCATCTGCAGGAAGAACATGGGCCCGTGGACCTCTCGTGGACCAAGCGAGGTGATCAGAATGACAGCGCCCAGGGCGGGAATGAAGACAAGCACGGCGAGGGAGCCCAGAGCAGCCACCGCCAGGATGACTCCGCCTGCGAGGAGGAAGAGATACCTGTGAGAAACAAGACAACCGTGAGACTTCCTCGGAACAGGGCAGCACTGGCATCCCGGGTCACCCACTCAGGAGGGTGCTCAGGGGACCATATGGGGTGCTGGGAATTGAACCCGTGTCGGTCATGTTGGCTGCGTGCAAGGCAAATGCCCTACCCGCTGTGCTATCACTCCAGCCCCGGAAACTCTTTTTTTTTTTTTAAACTACAACTGCCATGTCCGATAAAGGAAGATAAGGGTCGTTAACCAGTTATGAAAAATAACACATTATAGTATAATCAAATATAATCAAGTATAATCAAATGCAACAATAGTGATTATAAGATATAACTGATACTGGGGCTGGAGAGGTAGTGAAGCAGGTAAGGCGCTTTCCTTGCACACAGCTGACCTGGGATCAACCCCCGACAACCCATTCGGTCCCTTGAGCACCATCAGGAGTAATTCCTGAGCGCAGAGCCAGGAGTAACCCTTGTGTATCATCACGTATGACCTCCCCAAATATATATAACTAGATACTATTTTTTTAAATATTTATTTATTTATTTATTGCTTTTTGGGGTCACACTCAGCGATGCTCAGGGGCGTCACACCCACCACCTGGCCCCCTGGCGCCGTGTAATCCCATCAATGGCCAAGACTCAGAGACTATAAAATTTAGCTCCCGGAACCGCGGCCGCGCTATATCTTATCAGAACATCTTTTTATGACATCTTATTATCTCATTCCTACTCTGGATAAACTTGCAGGCTATCGAATATAGCCTGCCCACAGGGCAGAGTCTGGCAAACTCCCCGTGGAGCACCAAATATGCCAAATACCAGTAACAATGATGGGTCTCATTCTCCTAAAGAGCCTTGAATATAATCTCAGGGCTAGGATGAAGGAGACGTTACTGGGGCCTGCTCGAGGCAATCGACGAATAACAGGATGATGAATGAATGAATGAATTGCTTTTTTGGGTCACACTCAGCGATGCTCAGGGGTTACTCCTGGCTCATGCACTCAGGAATTACTCCTGGCGGTGCTCGGGGGACCATATGGGATGCTGGGAATCGAACCTGGGTTGGCTGCGTGCAAGGCAAATGCCCTACCCGCTGTGCTATCGCTCCAGCCCTAACTAGATACTGTTTTTAAAATACTAATATAAAATATTAATTTCCAACGTAAATGAATTATTAAATGATAATTAGTAGTGTTTTGGGAAGTGGGAAAATATTACTTTTTACTTTTCTTTTTTTCTGATTTTGGGAATTTTGCCCAGGCCTCACACTTGCAAGACAAGCGCCTTACCACTGATCTACAATCCCAGCCCTGACAAGGCATTTGCATTTTACAAACAAGATCCCACAACTTTGTTTGAAAAGTAGGGATTGTGCATGACCTAGGAGCTCTCTCAAAGGGCAGAGCTCATGCTTTGCCTGCAGGAGGCCGGGTTTGATCCCAGCACTGCACGGTCCTCTGAGCATCACTGGGTGAGTCCCACTAGGAACAGGCCCTGAGTACACGGAGTGTGAATCCTGCTCCCTCCGCCCCGCCATGGACTTTCTCAGATTTTTTAGTTTGTTATCTATAAAAAAAAATCAAATTATCAAACATCTAGTGACAATAATTTTTAATCCCTGGACTGAGACATGATAGACTTAACAAGACTGTTTTGACTTATTTCATTTTTCTGAGAAATTATACAGAAGCATATTTAAAATCACATTGAGAGTTGGAGCGAAAGTACAGCGGGGGGGCACTTGGCTTGCATAAGACCAACCTGGATTCAATCCCCAACACCACATATAGTCGTCCTTGGAGCTCAGCCAAGCGTGTTGCCTGAGTACAGAGTCAGCAGAAAGCCCTGAGCACTGCTGCTTATGCTCTCACCCCCAAAGCCAAACCAAATAAAACAAAAAATAAACCTAAAGAAAAAAATCTAAAATCACATCTAATTATTTTTAATAAAATTTTAAATTCCACGAAGTGAGACTGGTAAACAATATCTGGAATAATCATACCTGTATTTTCTCAACTTCCATCTCTCCCCACTTTATTTTCATCTTTTTCCATTTAATACGAACCCGTCAAACTTTGAGTCATGTAGACATGATGTCAATTTCTGGTTCTGTTTTACTCATTAGACATGTTAAGAGTCAATGGCAATAAAATGATAATAACTTAAAGACAACATGATTAGTATTGTATCTCCAGGGACCGGAATGATAGTACAGTGGGTCGGGTATTTGCCTTGCACATGGCCAACCCGGGTTCGATTCCCAGCATTCCATATGGTATCCTGTGCACTGGCAGGAGTCACTCCTGAGTGTAGAGCCAGAAATAACCCCTGAGCATTGCAGGTGTAACCCCAAAACAAAAAAACAAAATTTTATCTCCACATCTACAGTCTTGACTATGATTTGTGAATAGTATCCTTAAATATAAGAACAAATTAGCCCCCAGACGTACCTGGCACGAACAGAAAAGGATTCCAAACTGCAGAGACAATTAAACAGAAGTGCAAACGGAAAAGCCGCCCCTTGATAAAATGATACGGGGTGGGGGAAGAGCCTCTGAAGCCAACGCATTGTGGGATGAACCAAAAGATGCTGTTGCCTTCCAAGCTCTGAACTTGTGCCTTCCTGCAACAGAAACCACAGCAGAGCCCTCTCGTCTTCTTACGCATAAGACTGAGGAATACCTGGGCCGGCCACAGGCAAGGAAAAGCCTCAGAGATAAGCAGTATAAATGTTGGCTTTTGATAAAGCATCTGCGCCACAGAAACCCAAACACATTTTAGTGTTCCATGTGCTGAAAACATTGCTCTCCAAAGTCCTGGTTTTGTTTGGATTGTAGACCACATAATTTACCTTTCCAGGCGTTTGACTGCCATAGTTTCTTCACTAGTGAAACATCTCATTTTCCAGCTGTGGACAGAAAACACACTGGACAGAGGAGAAGGAACAAAATGTGAGCATGAGGAAGCTGGAGGGGGCAGAGTCTCAGAGTAAGAAGACCACCTGTCAACCTCCATAGCCTTCTGTGTTGCTCTTCCCTCCTTCCTTCCTCCCTTCCTTCCTCCCTTCCTTCCTCCCTCCCTTCCTTCCTTCCTTCTTTCCTTCCTTCCTTCCTTCCCTCCCTCCCTCGCTCCCTCCCTCCCTTCCTTCATCCCTTTCTTCTTTCCTTCTTTCCTGGTACTCATCACCATTCCTTACTTATTTCTCCTTTAGTCTTTGCCTGTCTCCACATTTGAGCTTGACAAGAAGGATGGGGGTGCACTCTGTTTTGTTTACTGCTATCGCCTCAGTTCAGTAAATGGTACCGGGCACATAGTATGCATTTCATAAACACTTGTTAAAGTTCAAATGGTTTCAAGAAAGAAACATGGTGAAAGAAAGGTTAAAACAAAGCCTTTTCATTGAGGAGACTCTACCTAGAGGAAAGAAAGAACCACAGACAGCCCCTCCCTCCCAAATGATGCAACATCAGGAAGACTGAGTTGTGGTAATTCGTCAAGAACACTTTCCTTGGAATTAAGTATGCATTCATTCCTAATTGTACTATTCTTTTTGCATTTTAGAATGTGTGTGTGAGTGTGTGTGTGTGTGTGTGTGTGTAGGGAGGTCAGTTGGTTGGGCCACACCTAGTGATGCTCAGGAATTACTCCTGGCTCTGCACTTAGGAGTAACCCTCCAGGGCAGTGCTCTCCAGGGTAGTCTCTTCAGGGAAGTGCTCAGGGAGGCATATGAGATGCCAGGGATCAAATCTGAGTTGATTTCATACGAGGCCTCACCCATTTTCTATCTCTCTAGTCCCTGGAAACAGTATTTTTATTTTTAGGTCTCAAATACTTTGTAGGTGTCAGAAAAGCTTATGGGTTCTGTCCATGACCTAGTGGTAATAAATTGATCCTTCCTATGAGCATGGCGTGTGGGTTAATTTTGTGTAGATTCCTTTGGGCTATGCTGTCCCAGTTGTTTGTCCCACACCAGAGTAGATGCTTCTCTGAAGGTGACATTAACATTTAAATCAGTAGAGTTTGAGAAAATGCTCTATATCAGTAATCATCAGAGAGATGCAGATCAAAACCACAATGAGATATCATTTCACACCACAGAGACTGGCCCACATCCACAAGAACAAAAGCAACTGGTGCTGGCGCGGATGTGGCGAGAAAGGGACCCTCCTTCTCTGCTGGTGGGAATGCAGGCTGGTCCAACCCTTTTGGAAAACAGTATGGACGATTCTCAAAAAATGAGAATTTGAGCTCCCATTTGACCCAGCAATAGCACTACTGGGAATATATCCCAGAGAGGCAAAAATGTATAGTCGAAGTGACATCTGCACTTTTTTGTTCATTGCAGCACTCTTGACAATAGCCAGAATCTGGAAAAAACCTGAGTGCCCAAGAACAGATGACTGGTTAAAGAAACTTTGGTACATTTACACAATGGAGTACTATGTAGCTGTTAGAAAAGATGAAGTTATGAAATTTACATACAAGTGGTACTACATGAAAGTATCATGTTAAGCGAAATGAGTCAGAAAGAGCGGGATAGATACAGAAAGACTGCATTCATCTGGGGAATATAAAGCAACAAAACGGAGACTAACACCCAGGAATGGCTGAGATTAGTACCAGGAATTTTGCTCCATGAATGGAAGGCCAGCCACACGTTCTAGGTGAAAAGAAGTTCAGATAGAGAAGAGAGCACAAATAAAGGGTATTGTGAGGACCCTCCCAGGGTAGGAGAAGCATGCTAAAAGTAGTCTATAGACCAAACATGATTGCCACTCAATGCCTCTCTTGCAAAACACAGTACCCAAAAGAAGAGAGAGAGAACAAGGGGGAATGCCCTGCCACAGAGGCAGGGTGGGATGGGGGGAATGGGGGGTGGGATGGATTCTGGGATCATTGGTGGTGGAGGATGGGCACTGGTGGAGGGATGGGTTCTTGATCATTGTATAACTGAAACCCAAGCACAAAAATTTGTAAATCTACAACTGTACCTCATGGTATTTCACTAATAAAAAAATAAAAATTTAAAAAATTAAAAAATATATATTTTATGCTTTATTTTGAGATAAAATACTGTAGTGTTATGTTTTAAAAAGAACAATGCATGTTTTACATAAATATTTTATTATTCTCAAAAATAAATAAATAAATCAGTAGAGTTTGAGTAAAACAGATTTCCACCCAAAATATGGTGCCCTCCATTAGCCAGTTGCAGGCTTAAAAGTAAAGACTGTGGATATCCAAATGAGAAGCAATTCTGCCTCAAGATTGTTAAGCCAGCCTGAGTTTCCAGTCAGCAGATTTTGAACTTGAGGCTTCATTGTCAGTTCATCTATGAATTTCAAATTTGCCGGTCCTCCCAATTACAAGAGCCAATTCCTTAGATTAAATCTTTTCTACTCCATTGGTTCTTTGTCCCTGGAGAATCCTAATAAACATGCCATGGAAATATTTCTTCTTAATTTAGACAAATATTACTTGAAAACAGATATTTGCATTTTGGGTCAGCAGAATTTGTTAATTCATCCATATATGTAGCTGACAAACTTATTATATAAACTGTGTGTCCATGTTGAGTACAGAATAGGGAAAAACTCATTTGACTTTACTTTCATGGAATTTAGTCTTTAGGGAATCTAGTGAAATAAACACAAAGTACGTGGGCACTCTACTTGTCCATGGAAAGACCAATAGAATAGCAAGGATAACAGACTAATCTATTCAGATTAATTAAACATGACTCCAGGTTCCAAGTTATTTAATTAAATTCCAATCAGTGAAAATATTTTGAATGGGTTTGGAGGGGGTTATTTTGGGTCTGCTCTTGACAGGCTCAGGGGTTACTCCATGTTTTGGGATCAGGGGTCATTCTGGCTGTACCAGGGTTGGGAAAAGCATAAGGCACTGGGGATCAAAACCAGGCCTCCCACATGCAAAAGAAGTGTATAATTTGTTATCTCTCTGCTCCTGTGTAGATATTTTTAGTGATTACAATCTGCAATCTGTGAAGGGAGAGAAATAATCCGCGTGGGCCTAATTCAATCTGTTAAGAGGTCTTAAGACAGAGCTGGATTTTCCCTGAAGAAATTCAACTTGTGGCAGTAGCTTTACCCCACGCCTGAGAGTTCCAGTCTCCCTACAGATTTTCAATTTGCTCAGCCAGCCCCCACAATCATCTAAGCCAGCTCTTGCAGTAAACCACCTACTGTATGTATCGCCTAGTGATTCTGCTTCTCTGGGTTGAGTCCCAAATAAGCACACTAATGAGACTCCTGAGCCCCCGCAGCTGAAGACCTCCAGAACCCAGCCACAGCCATGCTTAAGTCCATTCTCCACATGCTTGGACGAGCCTCACACATGAAGGAACCAGCAGAGGAACCCAGGGGTTGGAGCAGGGGCTGAGATCTCCAAACCTGTTTGGATCGGGACTGGACCTCCTCCACCCAGATCCCCCATCTTCCAGTAGCTAGACAGTTACACCCACCAACTTCCCCCCTGGCACAGTGTAATCCATCAATGACCAAGATCCAGAGACTATAAAGCCAAGCTCTGGGAAGTGCACGGCTGCAGTTGCACCTCTTATTGTTCTAGTTCTCGCTCTTGGAGAACCCAACAGGCTACCGAGAGTGTCCTGCCTGCACGGCAGAGCCTGGCAAGCTCCCCATGGAGTATTCGATATGCCAAAACCCAGTAACAATGGTGAGTCTCATTCCCCTGACCCTGAGAGAACCTCCAAAGTGGCACCTGCTAAAATCTCAAGGCTAGGATGAATGGAGTCATTACTGGTGCCTGCTCGAGGAAGTCAATGAAGAACGGGATGACAGTGATACAATGATGAGACTCCTGAGATGCTAAGGGTTAGGGTGTTTCTGTGTACATTGCACGTGCGCATGTGTGCTAACGGCAAACTGGTTTGGAGCCGGGTAATCACTTTCCTTGATAAGTGAAAGAATGACTAAGATACGAAAGTATGAAGCAGAAGTGGAGAATCATTGGCCATAGGTCAGAGATCTGGTATGGAAGAGACTTTATATTTTCAAATGAATAGGAGGGGCAGAGCAATAGCCCACTTTTTTTTTTTTGCTCACAGCCAATGTAGATTGGATTCCCAGCATGCCATATAGTCCTCCTAGCCCCGCCAGGAAGGATCCCTGAGCACAGAGCCCTGAGTATCCCTGGGAGTGGTCCAAAAAATTGAAAGGAATAGGAGGTAGAATAACTAGATTTTTTTTTAAGGACGATTTTATCGACAAGAGAATGGCTTGGATGGGGGACTGGGAAATGGGGTCGATTTTAGAGGTGAAGGGTAGAAGAAAAAGAGGAGAGAAGGTGGCTGAGATTAGGGAGACTGCAGACCCAGGAGCTGCAGAATTTGTTGGTGGATAAAGGTACAGTGTACAGGTAAAGCGTGCCTGATAGGCTCTCACTCGAGCTAGCGGATGGTGGCTTCTTTTGCTTAGATGGAAATCCAAGGACTTGTTAGAAGCAGAGCAAGGGAGTAAACCAAAAGCGCTTTCTGGTGTTTTAAGTTTGATAATACTTTGAGGATCCTAGGGGAGATATCAACTGGGGAGTCGAATAATTACGTATGCGGTGGAGCAGGAAAAAAAAAGACAGAACTAGCGGTATGAACTTGAGAACGTCGGTTGGGAGGCCCTGACCCTTGGGAAGAATGAGCTCACCCAGGTGGGCTTATACACAACGGGTGGCCGAGCAAGAGGACTCGGAAGGAAGCAACACCTTAAAGAAAACTGCCAGTGAGTGTCCTGTGGGGTCAAGGGCACCACCGGTGCGGCCGCTAACAGCGAACGGCAAGGTAGAGGGATGTGAAGAACCAAAGGAATAACGGCGTACGCTGGCTTTTCAAGCAGCCGGTGGTGCGGCGGAGCGATAGGACAGCGGGCAAGGCGTTGGCCTCGCTCGCGGCCAACCCAGGATGGATCCTCAGGAAATTCCTGGGTGCAGAGCATCCCCGGGTGATTCCAAAAAGCAAACAATAATCTAAAACTAAGATATAAAATAAAAGATGTAAAATAAAAAATATACTCAGGAGTAACCTCTGAGCATCTTTTTGGGTGGTGACCCAAAAAGCAAAAAAATAAATAAATAAATGAAACAAAAATGGGCACTGGTGGGCTGGAGCAGTAGCACAGCATTTGGGGCGTTTGCCTTGCACTTTGCAGACCCGGGTTCAATTCCTAGCATCCCATCTGGTCCCCCGAGCACCGCCAGGAGTAACTCCTGAGTGCAGAGCCAGGAGTGACCCCTGTGCATCGCCAGGTGTGACCCAAAAAGAAAAAAAAATGGGCACTGATGGAGGGATGGGTACTCGATCATTGTATAACTGAAGCCCAAGCACAAAAATCTGTAAGTCTACAACTGTACCTCACGGTGTCTCACTAATAAAAATTAAAAAACAAAAATGATCTCAAAAAAATAAATAAATTAGACAGTCTACACCGCCCTGCAACCCACAAGGCCCTCGGAGGCCCCGCCCCGCGCCCCCTCCCTCGCCCCGCCCCATCACCCGCCCCGCCCCACGAGCCCCGCCCCGCCCTGCGCGCACGGCCCCGCCCCACTTCGGTCCTCCCCCCCGCCCCCCCTCCCGGTCGCCAGCCCCGCCCCACTCGCCCCGCCCCGCCTCGTTCGCCCCGCCCCGCGCACCCCGCCTCGGTCCTCGCCCAGCCCCGTCACCCGCCCCGCCCCTGCGCCCCGCCCCGCCTCGCGCGCCCGGCCCCGCCCCACCTCGGTCTTCCCCCCCGCCCCGTTCGCCCCGCCCCGCCCCGCTCGCCCCGCCCCGCCCCGCCCCGCCCCGCCCCGCCCCGCTCGCCCCGCCCCGCCCCGGCGCCCCGCCCCTCCCTGCGCGCCCGCCGCGCCTCGCTCCTCCCCCCGCCCCGCTCGCCCCGCCCCGCCCCGGCGCCCCGCCCCTCCCTGCGCGCCCGCCGCGCCTCGCTCCTCGCCCCGCCCCGCCCCGCCCGCCCCGCCCCGCGCCGCCAGGCCTCCCTAGTCGATTGCCGACCCCTCGCTCCGCCCAGGCGACCGCGTCGACCCCGACCTCGCTAGACCTTCCAGCCATGGCGGAGAAGGCGCAGAAGAGGTGAGTGCGCCTGCGGGGACCCCCGCTGCCAGCTCCCCGCGGGCCTGGCCCCACATCCCCGACGGTCCCGCGCGGGGGGGCCTGCTCCCCCACCCCGCGGGCCGCGAGGGTCCCCCCGTCGCCGCCCACCCCCTCCCGCACCCCGCGGTGGGCAGCCCGGCCGGGTCGCGCGCGGCGCCTCCTCCTGCGCCCGCTCCCGCTGCTGCTTCGGTCGCGCGGAGGCGGGGCTGGTCCCTGGGGTGGACAGAAGTCGAGGCTTGGCTTTTCTTTCTTTAGCTTTTGGGGTCACGCCCGGCGATGCGCAGGGGTCACTCCTGGCTCTGCACTCAGGAACTACTCCTGGCGGTGCTCCTGGGACCCTATGGGATGCTGGGAATCGAACCCGGGTCGTACGCATGCAAGGCTCCAGGCCCCAGTATTTTTAATTTTCACATATTTATTTTATTTTTTTGCTTTTTGGGTCACACCCCGTGATGCACAGGGGTCACTCCTGGCTCTGCACTCAGGAACTACTCCTGGCGGTGCTCAGGGGACCCCATGGGATGCTGGGAATCGAACCCGGGTCGGCCGCGTGCAAGGCAAACGCCCTCCCCGCTGTGCTATCGCTCTAGGCCCCAGTATTTTTAATTCTCACATATTTATTTATTTGCATTTTGGGTCACACCCCGCGATGCACAGGGGTCACTCCTGGCTCTGCACTCAGGAACTACTCCTGGCAGTGCTCAGGGGACCAGATGGGATGCTGGGAATCGAACCCGGGTCGGCCGCGTGCAAGGCAGACGCCCTCCCCGCTGTGCTATCGCTCCAGGCCCCAGCGGCTTTTCTTTTTTTGACCCCCAAGGAACTGGCACCGTTTTGGTTTCGGGGCCACACGCCCGGCCGTGCTCGGAGGTTACTTCTGGCTCTGCGCTCAGGCACCCCCCGCAGGGCTTGGGGTGGGGGTCCCCTTTGGATGTCGGGGCTCGAACCCGGGGCAGCTGCGTGTAAGGCAAGTGCCCTCCCTCCGTGCCGGTGCGCTGGCTCCGGGGCTGTCGTTCCCCACGCTGGAGGAGCGGGGCGGGGTGTACGGGGGTTGGGGTACAGTCGGGCACGGTGGCGCTGGTGCCCGGTTGGCGCCAGCCTGTCCTAGGCGCGGGGCCTCACAGCTGCTCGCCTGCCTTCACTGCGTGCCCCGCGCGAGCCCGTCCTCCCCGAGGTGCAGGGGGCTCCGCATGGAGAGGGTTGGGCCCCCCCTAGGGTGGGTCCAGGGGTGCATTGCATGAGTCCCTGATGATGGTGGTTGTCACGTGAGAGATGATTTGGGCATGGACCTTCCCTGGGGCATCTCACTTAGGTAGTGGTGTGTGATCGCGAGGCTCAAACCCAGGCCACCTGCACGCAAAACAGGTGCCCCAGCATTTTGAACTCGCTCCCTGGTTCCTAAACCCCCATGAATAAAATTCATACACACACATACACATATAGCACTGTAGCACTGTCCTCCTGTTGTTCATAGATTTGCTCCAGGGGGCACCAGTAACGTCTCCTTTGTGGGACTTGTTACTGTTTTTGCATATCGAATACCCCATGGGGAGCTTGCCAGGCTCTGCCCTTGTGGGGGGGAATACTCTCGGTAGCTTGCTGCCGGGGCCCTCCAAGAGGGATTAAGGAATCAAACCCCAGTTCAGCCACATGCAAGGCAAATGCCCTACCTGCTGTGCTATCGTTCCTGATATATATATTATATATATGCATATATAATATATATATATATCAGCAAAGTTTTACTTGGTTTTTGGACCACACCAGGTTGCTTAAGACTTACTCCTGATTTTGTTCTCAAGGATCACTTCTAGCAGTGCTCAGAGGACCTTGGGGTGCAGGCAATCAAACCCAGGTCAACTGCATGCAAGGCAAGCGGGTGCCCTGCCCTCTGTACCATCTCTCTGGTTCCCTAAATTAAAACAGCATCAAGTTTTTGAAGATACTAATCAACTTTTCCTATAGCTTACAAATAAATAAGAATATTTTAAATTGGGGCTGGAGTGATAGTACAGAGGGTAGGGCGTTTGCTTTGCACGAGGCTGACCTGGGTTCGATTCCCAGCATCCCCTATGGTCCCCCAAGCACTGCCAGGAGTAATTCCTGAGTGCAGGACCCAGGAGTAACCCCTGCGCATCGCCGGGTGTGACCCAAAAAGCAAATTAATTAATTTTTTAAAAAAGAGTATTTTAAATTTTTGACATTGATTTCTATATTATTATTATCCTGCTGGCTAATTTAGATTTACCTGGCAGGGCTCAGGGCTTCCTCCTGGTACTGTGCACAGAGTCCCCCCTGGCAGTACTCAGGGGACTGTATGTAGTGACAAGATCAGTCAGCACCAGCTTCATGCAAGGCAAGTGCCTTCCCACTGCACTGTCTCTTCAGCCATCTGATCATTTTTAATACACTTTTTTTCATCATTTTTACAAAAATAGTGGCAAATTATATACTGTCGTCTTTTCTGGTTGTGCTTCCTTTTGACTTAATATCTCTTAACGATCATTCAATGATAGCACAGCAGTCGGGCGTTTGCCTTGCGTGCAGCCAGCCCGGCCTAGCCGGGTTCGATTCCTCTGCCCCTCTCGGAGAGCCCGGCAAGCTACCGAGAGTATCTCACCCGCACGGCAGAGCCTGGCAAGTTCCCCGTGACTTATTCAGTATGCCAAACACAGTAACAACAAGTCTCAAAATGGAGACGTTACTGGGCCCGCTCGAGCAAATCAATGAACAACGGGAGGACAGTGTTTGTTTTGACGATCATCACTAGTTTTTTTGTGAGTGTGTATAAATTCACAGTGTGCCATAAGTTATTAGTCAGTCCCCTACTGATGAATACTTAGGGTTTGTTTTTCTTTCATCATTTTGTTACAGAAAAACAGTGCTGCTGTAAAAAAGAAAACCACCCAGGGCCCCTTCCCTCACAAGCATTTCAATAGGTAGTATATGTAGTTTTAAACTGATAGAAAGTATGTCCCATACAATGCATTACGTCTTGCCCTCTTAGAGTTTACTTTGCGTTTTTCTATCTCATTGTTTTCTTAGCCTTTTCTCATTGCAGGATCAGTATAGCTTCTGGACACTACTTTCATTTTTTTTTTTTTAAGATTTAAGTAAAAGGGTGATATTAGTGTAGAATGCATTCTGAGCATTTTTGTCCAAATATTAATGTTCTTGTAAGACCACAGTGAACACTTTTTACTAATTTAGTTGTACATTTAGGCGCTGGAGCGATAGCACAGCGGTAGGGCGTTTGCCTTGCACGCAGCCAACATGGCCAACCCGAGTTCGATTCCTCCGCCCCTCTCGGAGAGCCCGGCAAGCTACCGAGAGTATCTCGCCCGCACGGCAGAGCCTGGCAAGCTCCCCGTGACGTATTCGATATGCCAGACACAGTAACAACAAAGTCTCCAGTGGAGACGTTACTGGGCCCGCTCGAGCAAATCGATGATCAACGGGAGGGCCTTTACTTTTACTTTTAGTTGTACATTTAGCTTTGTATAATAGAGAGGTTTAAGTATATTTAATAAATTCATCAATATATCACAACCAAGAAATTTAAATTTTAAAATATTTGGTGGTGTGCCAGATGAATATGAATAAGTTAATGTATTGCTAGAAGATTTGGATATTGGATAATCTGATCTCTCAGATGTCCATATATTAGTACTTTGGGATATATAGAGACATTAACACCATACTGAGTATAATTTGATTTCTTGGGTTCGGAAAATGCTTTGGTATCTTTCAGTGGCTCAGTGTTGTTATTGTTTGTCATTTTTAGTACTTTAGACATACTAGCGCTGTCCATGGCATTCTCTGTTGTTTTTCTACCAAATAAATTCCCATTTGTCAACTTAAAAAAAAAAACGTCTTTAAAGTCTTCAAAAATTATTTTTTAAATTCATTTTTCTGGGGCTGGGGTACACGTGGTGGGCCTCAGGGTGCACTCCCAGCTCAGTGCTCGGGAGTTGCTGCGGGTAGTGCCCTGGGACCCTGAGGTGCTGGGGTTGGAGCCTGGAGTCTGAATAGAAAGCATGCTCTCTTAGGGCCTCAGCAGTAGTACAGTGGGTAGGGCGTTTGCCTTGTATGTGGCCAACCCGCGTTCAATCCCCAGCATCCCATATGGTCCCCCAAGCACCTGAGCATCGGCGGGTGTCACCCCCCCCCCCCCCCCAAAAAAAAGGAAAAAAAAGAGAAAATAAAAAGCATGTCTCACCCTTGGAACTCTCACCCTAGCCCGAGTTTTAATTTCTTTTATTGGTGGGGGGCATGGGGACATACCCAGAGTAGCTCAGGGCTTACCTCCTGGCTCCGTTTGGGCTGGCGTGGGGATTTGGCCATAAGTGGCACCAGAGCCCGAGCCAGGGGTAGCTGCGTGCGAGCGCTGCTTTGACCCCCGTACTGTCCCTCCAGCCCTCTCTGGCCCTGTCTTTGAACCTTGTCTGTAGTGAATTCTTCCTTTTGTTTCCACAGTGTGAAGATTGCTCCTGGAGCAGTTGTGTGTGTGGAGAGTGAAATCCGGGGAGATGTAACAATTGGTAAGGAGACAGTTGAATAGGCCTGTTTCCCAGCGATCGGTGTGGTTTAACTATTTCAGTGCTCTGCAATTAGGTACTATGGCTGGTGTATATTTTACTGATCCAACAAATTTTTTTTTCCATAGGTATGTAGTATTTCTAGAAGGTTGCAGCAGGGGACCCATAAGATAGCTCATAGGACTATGCTTTGCATGTCTCCTGGCCGTGGGGCCCCCAACTCCAACCCCTGATCTCATGACCATGAGGGTAGCTCCTGAACTCTGTTGGAAGGGTCAGAGAGAGGAGAGAGACAGAGATAGAGAGGGAGAGGAGAGGAGGGAGGGAGGGAGGGAGGAAGCGGGGGTGATGGGGTCTGTGGTCTTTATCATTAATGTCTTACTGCCTTTGACATATTGTCTCATTAGCTTTATTCGAGAGGCATCTGTTGTTACCGAGTCACTGCTCTGGGTCAGGCTCAGTGCTAGCTCTGGCGACACTGCACTTGAGGACCGGTCTGCATGGCACTTATGTTCTGTGGCGTCGCCAGTCTGCGGCCATGCCACCCCAAACGTGCCCAGTCTCGTCCGCAGGCTCAGTTTGTTAGGGTCGCCTTCACCTGACCCGTTACCTTGGCCATGGCTTACCTACCTAACTTGCGTTTTCCCATCTCTGAAATCGTGTGTCGGGATTAGGTCCAGCTGCATGGAGTGGTGGCGGGAACATACGTATGTTCGTGTCTTCTGTAAGAAGCCGAAAAGTGGACCGTCCAAACCCTCAGCCCTGGGCTGTGATGGATGGCAGTGCCCTGGGTGTGACCTTGGCGATGAAGGGGGAGCTGCGGAGGCTGACAGTCCCTCCCCACTGAGTTAGTCACCACAGGGCCCCTCAGGGTCGCACACAGGCCTTCTTTGGGTGTCCGATACCTTGACTGCATCTTCACTGGGTACAGTGCCCTTGTAGCTTGATTTTTTTTCTTCTTTGATTTTTGGGCCACACTAATGCTACTCAGGGCCTTCTCCTGGAGTCATTCCTGGCAGTGTTTAGGGGGCCATGCAGTGCCCAGACTGAACCCAGGGCTTCACACGCGCAGGGCGAGTGCTCCACTGAGTCACGTTCCCCAGCCCTGTGGTCTCATTAGTCCGAGCCCATCCTTCGCGGCAGCTGTTTGGTGTCAGAGTCAGGTTTTCAGTGACTAAAGTCCACTTTCCAAGAGAAAATATGTCATATTCCCTGATATTATCAATATCTCCAACACACACACACACACACACAAAAGTAAATTTTAAAATAAGTTTAAACCTCCTACTAGATGGGCCCCACATTTTTACGAAATCAAGATTGGGACAGCTGAGGAGAGTACAGGGGCAAAGGTGTTTGCTCAGCACATTGCAGTCCCGGTTTGATCCCAGGTACCACATGAGCACTCCCAGGTTGCCGGGAGTAGCACCTGAGCACCACACTGTCTGGGGTGCACCCCACTCTCCCCCTGAGAATGTACCAGTTCAAGGCTTGTGCCTTAACTCCTGAACTGCCTCTCTGGCCCCTGTGTCAGTATTCTGGAAGTTCATTTTGAAAAGGCCAAGTTGGAATCTTTTTTAATTTGGTGGTTTCCTACCTAGACGTGGACCCTGTTTCTCTTCAGCGCTGCGTTAACTCCTTGTTAACACACTGACTTGTTGGCACGTCTTGAAGAGGTCAGGGATGGGTTAGAAAGGAGTTCCTGGAGTTCCATTCAGACTGCAGGCAGTCTCTGGGTGGGAGGACAGGGCTTAGCTGGGACCCTGCACGGCACAGTTGGGATCAGTGGGGAAATTTTGTGATGATAACATTTTGTCCCACTTATTCTGTCCTTCTCTCCGTTTGGGTTTCTAATAGAGGCCAAAGCTTCCTTTTCATTGTGGAGATCTTTTTTAAGAAGGCAGAACAGGGGCTGGAGCCATAGCACAGCGGGTAGGGTGTTTGCCTTGCACGTGGCCGACCCAGGTTTGATTCCCAGCATCCCATATGGTCCCCTGAGCACCGCCAGGAGTAGTTTCTGAGTTCATGAGCCAGGGGTAACCCCTGAGCATCACCGGGTGTGACCCAAAAAAGCAAAAAAAAAAAAAAAAAGGCGGAACAGTGTCATTGAGAAACCCACCAAGTGCTAAGCAGTTCTGACTGGGTACTTCTGCTTAAAGGTCCAAGGAATTATTTTAATTTTCCAAAAAGCTGGTGGCTGTTTGAACTATAGACACATTTTTGAACCTTTTTACCCATGAACATGTGACCGGGTACACAAAGACTGCTTTCCGTGGCAAAGATAAGACAGGGAAAAATGTCTTTTACCAAATGAGGGGAAGGGAAATTCGATGAAAGGAATGTCTTTCTGGCTTTGTGGCATCCAGCCCAGCCAAGCATTTAGAAAAATGATTCATCAGCCAGTAAAGCAGCCCTAACCCGACACATTTATCCAAACAAGGAGATAAGCCAAAGACAGTTTCAGCACATTTAGTAAGAAAATATACAAACTGCCCTGCCAGAAAAAGCTCCGGGAAGGGTCACAAGGGGTTTCTAAGGGGGGGGGGCGGGGGGCCTTTCCATGGTGACAGATTTTTATTTTGAAAGCATTTTAACCTTAGACCCTAAAACTTGGTTTGAATTCAGACCCGTTTAGGTGAGGTTTCTTGGTGCCAGCAGAGTAGCGGGGTGTGAGCGCTGTCAGGTCTGATTCGAATACTCAGTGGCCTGCCTGGCCAGGCCAGCCTGGGTCCAGAACCCACTGCCCGCGGCCACACGAGACACAGTGCAGCGGCCTGGCAGCTTCTGATCGCAGTCTGTGGCCTGAGTACAGGGTCTTCCAGGCCCTGCCCCCCCCCTCCCCGGCTGCTCCTCAGTGCGACTTGTGTCACTGGTGTCACTTGGCAACTGACTTTGTTGCTAGTTGGGCCTTTGTTGTTTCATCTACGAACACCAGAAACTGTAGTTTGGACGTGCTGCCACCAGGTGGCGGCAGGGCCCCGAACACCTTCTCCAGCCTCCCAGGACCATGCCTGTTTGTTGCCTGTTTCTGGGCCACCCTGCAATCCTGTCTCAGTCCTCGGGGCCACTCCTGGAGGTGTTCAGTGGACCCTTGGCTGGGGAATCTCCCCCGAGCTGCAGACGGCACCAAGTTCCCTCTGGTCTGATCCTCAAGTGAATAACCCAGAGTTTTCCCGTCACAGTTACTTTATTAATAACAGTAAAGTCAGGGCCGAAATAAGAAAGCAGAGGATTAGAAGAACTCGGGTCTGGTCGTTCAGTGGGCCCTGGGGGCCACTCCTCACTCTGTACCTGGGCTCATTCATGGTGGTGCTCAGGAGACCCTGGCATTGGGCGTCCGGACAGACTGACAGAGTGAGAAGGTATGGGGCTGGAGGTAGTGTGATATTTTTTCTAATTTTTTTTTTTTATCTTGGGTTGTCCTTGGGTTTTTAAAAATGTGTCTATTGCTTGTTTCTGGTGTGTGTGTGTGTGTGTGTGTGTGTGTGTGTGTGTGTGTGATTCATGTTCAGAAGTGCTGGGGAGCCCCCAGCAGGTCTTCTTGTTGCCCCACTCAGGGAGCACTTGCCGCTTTGGGTCTGGCCTGTGATCCAGCCTGGACTTAAGGCTCTGCACTGTACCCCGGCCCTGGGGTGTTTGGTCATAGACAGGTATTTGATCAGTTTTGAAAGTGAAAATACCAAGTTGTGCTCAGAGTCACCCCTGAGAGGCGCTTCCAAGAGGAGCCTTTCCGGAGGCTGCTTTTCTTCATCAGTGTGTCCCCAGGTAGCTTGAGTCTGCTCTGGGTCCGAGCCACAGCCTGAGGCCCAGCCGGCTGTCCGGCGGCTCTGGAACCAGGCTGTGGAGGAAATCGGTTTCTGTTTGTTTGTTTTCCTCTGTTCACGCATCACACCCAGGACTTCACACGCGCAAGCCACGGGCTGTCCGATGAGCTGCATCCTGGCTCCAAGCCTCAGATGTAAGAAGGGTGGGCGGGCCTTCGCGCTAGCCCTTGCCCGCGGGATTTCATGTACTCCATGCCTGCCTGGGAGGTTGTTACAGAACTCCTCTTTCTGTGAAGGGGGCTACTCAGTGCTCTCCTGCCCCTGATGGTGTTCAGAGGCTTGGACGGTCCTGGGGATCGGAGCCCAGGAGCCCATATGCAGAGTAACACGGAGCCCTCCCAACCATCCGCCCGGCCCTGCATCTAGACAGACTGCAGGTGTTAGCTGGGACCTCAGTTACAAAGAATCGAAAACAGAAAAATGGCTCTCTTTATCATAGAATAGCTCTGTTTTGCTTTGGGGAGGCGCACACCTCGTGATGCTCAGAGGTTACTCTTGGCTCTGCCCTCAGGAATTACTCCTGACAGTGCTCGGGGATCACATGGGATGCTGGGAATGGAACAGGAACCTGGCTTGCCGCCAGCGCCTTCCCCACCGTACTGTCGCTCTGGCCCTATCGTAGAGTATCTTTTTTTTTTCTTTTTGGGCTCATACCCAGTGATGCTCAGGGGTTTTACTGCTGGCTCTGCGCTCAGGAATTACTCCTGGCGGTGCTTGGGGGACCATGTGGGATGTCGGGGATTGAACCCGGGTCGGTCGCGTGCAAGGCAAAGGCCCTACCTGCTGTGCTATCACTCCAGCCCTCATAGAGTATCTTTTTTTTTTTAATAATGGAGGAGTACTGCTATTTGTTCAGCCATTGATTAAGCTGATTGAATTGGGCATGAACTCCACATTACTTTTTTATTTTATTGTATCACCGTGAGATAGAGTTACAAAGCTTTCCTGTTTGAGATTCAGCCATACAATGATGACACACCCATCCCTCCACCGGTGCGCACCACCAACGTCCCAAGTATCAACCCTCCTCACATACATACACTTCGCAGTCCTCACCCTGCCTCTATGGCAGACAATTCCCCCAATACTCTCTCTCTCGTTTGGGGCATTAATTTTGCTCAAATTTTTCCCAACACCATTCAAACCTACCTGCCAGGGGCAGACACTAGATAATATATTTTCCATAGCTCATTTCGAATATCACGAGAGCTCACACAGGCCGATTATAAATGTAAATTTCTAGATTGTACATGGTTGGGTTCCAGAGACATCTCTGTGTGGTACTAATCCTTTTTGGGATTCAGTTGGGAGCCTCTGGGCCAGGGCTGTTGGTGCGCTAAGACGGCATCCAGGGGAGAATTGTGGGCGTGACAGCCAGTCTTCTGGGCAGGTGGTGACCCGGGGAGGGACTGTCCAGGTCCTCTGCCACCATGCGGCCTGGAGATTTAGTCCTGAACCCTCATACCTGGGCGTTGCTTTGAAAGCTCTTGGTCACTGGGATTCCATCTGGAGTAGGTGGGGAGACTGCACCTGCTCCATCTGGGGTGCTCCGGTGATACTGGCTCGGTATGGGGCCGGGAGAGATCTCCGGTGCTGTGGTGTCATCTGGGACTTGCTGCTGTGTCTCTGGGCCAGGGCTGTTGGTGCACTAAGATGGTGCCCGGAGGCTAATTGTGGGCATAACAGCCAGTCTTCTGGGCGGGCAGGGACCCGGGGAGGGACAGCCCAGGTCCTCTGCCGCCATGCAGCCCGGAAATGTAGTCCTGGAACCCACATACCTGGGCCTTGCCTGTGGAAGCTCTTGGTCACCGGGATTCCATCTGGAGGAGGCGTCGTAGAGTCTCTTGACGTTGTGCAGCAGCAGATCTCCATTGGCTCACGCAGCCAGAAGATCTGTAAGAAGTTTCTCCGTCCCAAGGAATCCGCGGCTGGTTTCACTATTTTGCTTCACACCTTTCCCAAAGTGGGAGAGAGCAAACTCCATGGACTCGGCGGATGCTTTGCGTGTGGGATGCCCAGGTTTGATTTGATCCCTGCCACCCTAGAGTCCTCTGAGCAAGGAGCCAGGAGTATCCCCTAGACACTGCCGGGTGTCACTCACCTGCCCCCACCCCCCCCACCACCAAAGTGTTCATTTCAGGTGTCCTTTATTAAAGCAATAAGCCGTAGTATATAAATATGAGGTGAAACAATATTCAGCCATTAAAAAGGAGTGTTCAGGGCCACGATTGTGGCTCAGTGATCAAGTGTCTGCTCTGCATGTATGAGGCCTGGGTTGGATTCATAAAACCAAAGAAGTAAAACACAGGACCGAACTCATCACCCTCCCCGCGCCACAGTCCCTGGGAAGCAAAACCAAAAGAGCCTCTGCCCAGGTGCACCCGTGTAGGAAAAAGGCCTTCCACAGTGGGTGGCAGTAACTAGTGACAGAAGTGCTGGCGCCGCGTGCTTGTGATCTGTATTTCTTGCTTCAAGTTGGCTTTTAACGGGTAGGGCGTTTGCCTTACACGCGGCCAACACGGCCGACCCGAGTTCGATTCCTCCGCCCCTCTCGGAGAGCCCGGCAAGCTACCGAGAGTATTCGATATGCCAGACACAGTAACAACAAAGTCTCCAATGGAGACGTTACTGGGCCCGCTCGAGCAAATCGACGATCAACGGGAGGGCCTTTTAGGGCCTTTAACTGGGAGACAGGTGTGTGTGTGTGTGTGTGGGGGGGGTGTCATATCCTCGGTGCTTGGGCCCGGGTGGTGCTGGGGATGGAGTCAGGCCTCAGACTCCGGCCTCTGCGCCGGCCCTGGGAGCTCTTTCCCTTGCTCGCATTGATCACCCGCTGCGGTCACCTCTCCACCCCTGCTCTCACATGTGTTCTCTGAACTTGTCCAGACGCGCGATAGTAGGGCGTGAGTTTCCTCTTTCTTGCGTCACTTCGTTGAACGTCCTCAGGATCCATCCGTGTCGTCACAGGTGACTTGGTTGCTGTTGTTGTTTTGGAGGTACTGGGGACTAGTCCTGGCTTTGGCAGTGCTGGGGGACCAGATGCTCTGCCCCCCGGGGTCAGACCAAAGCAGCCGCGTGCGAGGCAGGTGCCTCTCCTGCTGCTCTAATCTCAGGCCCACGGTTCCTGGTGCTCTGTGTCCGGGCTGTGTCTCCCGAGCAGGCCTGCTGCCCTGTGTGCGTTTCCTCACCTGTTCATCCATCGCTGGACACTTTTAAGCTCCTTCTTGATCTTGGCTGTTGTCAATGATTTGACAGTGAACTTGGGGGGAGGGTGGTGGTAATATATATCTTTTTGAGCTAGTGTCTTCATTTTCCGAAGTCAGAATCTAAAAGTGGGCTGGCTGGGTGACACGGTAGTTCTGTTTTTGGTTTGTTGAGGAATGTCCATTGTGGCGATCCCAGCCCGAGTACATCAGGATTCCCTTTACTACACCAACATTCATTTCTTGTTGTTTTATTTTGGTTTTGGGGTGTGTGTGTGTGTGTGTGTGTGTGTATGTGATGGTGGTAGTGGTGGTGATGGTGGTGGTGGGGAGAGGAGTTTCTCTCACACCTTCCCTCTTTAAAAAATTTTTTTTTAATAACTGATTTATCAAGTTGTTCGTCATAAGAGTTGTTTGAGGCAATAACTGTTCCAACACCAGTCCCACCCCCCATCTGACCTGTCCTTCAACAATATTCGCAATTTCCCACCCACTGCTCAGGGGGTGACACCCTTGGCCTGCGTGGGCCCGTGCGTGTGGCGGCACTGACCCCTGCATTCTCCCCAGGGAGGGTCGCGCGTCTCCCTGCCCCAGGAAACAAGCCATCTCTTGTGAATGCAAGAGTCCTTCTGACAGGTGCGAAACATTCGCTCTCAAGTGCTGGTTCTCAAGTTAGTCAGGTGTGTTGACCAGTCCCAGTTTTCAAGCTGAGAGGGCAGAAGCAGTAGGTATTCGGTTTTTTGGTTTTCCCACGAAGTCCAATCCTTTCATCTGCCTTCCAGAAGCTGATCCTGACTGGAATCGCTCCCTGTGCATGCAGTTGCAGTGAACCTCACAGACTAGTCGTTTTCTGGAGTCCCGTGTCCTCCCGCCCTCCCGATTTACCCCTTGTTTACCAGGCAGACAGCCTGGCTGCTGGGCTGGAGGGCTTTGAAGGGGAGGCTGAGAAGGACACGTGTTCTCGTGAGCGGCTCGTCAGAGCGGGAGAGGGTCCGTGGTCCCATTCTGGAGGGACTGCTTCCGGGTGGGCAGTGCAGTGCTGAGTGGACCCTGCCTGCACCCTGCCAGTGGAGACTGGCGTCCACTGCACGTCTCCCGGTGCCCGAGTCTGGACCCCATTCGCACATGTGGCTCCTTCACGGCCACCCTGGAATTTTCCCCCAACCTTTTTAAAGTGTGACCAAAATGCTGCCTCTATACTAAGGGGTCCCCCTGGTGGTGCTGGGGCTCGAACCCGGGGCTCCCACAGCAAACCACGTGATGCAGTGGTTGCATCCTGAGGCCCCAGGGATAGTGACAGTTAGAGAGTTAAGGCTGGTTTCCATCTTTTCCAGCTCTCATTCCAACTTCTCTCTTCTTTTTTAAAAAGTTTTTTTTTTTTTAAACTTAATCACCCCAGAATTCCAAAGTCATTCATGATTGGGTTCTTGGTGTACAGGGCTGCAACACCAGCCCCTTCACCAGTATCCACTCCCCTCAGCCCCATCTCTCTTCTTCATCACAGTACAAGAGGCTGACTACGCTGCCGTGAAGGGCCTTGTGAAGGCTCTCGTGGTGAGCAAGAGGGAGTGGGCCCCTGTGCCGGCTAGGGGCCAGAAGCTTTGTCTGCAAACCTATCTCACCTGATCCCTGTAACGGCCCTGCAGAACCGGTGACGTCTCCCCCATTTCCCCACGGAGATAACCGTGGGTTCAGAGTAGGGGAGCCGGGCGGCCTCAGACCAGCACCTCTGCTGTCTTCGCCCTCCTTGGCCGGAGATTCGGCTCTGACCCAGTGATCACAGCCAAGGAGAGAGCATTTGTAAAGGGCCCACAGTGGTGCCAGGCACAGACTTAAAAAAATGTTCCTTCCGGCGGCCTTGGCCCCAGACTCCCTTCCCTCCTCCCCCATCATTTCTTCTCATCATCCTTTTCCCAGGACCCCGGACTGTGATCCATCCCAAAGCACGGATCATTGCAGAAGCGGGGCCCATCGTGATCGGAGAAGGTAACCTGATCGAAGAGCAGGCACTTATCATAAACGGGTGAGTACCGTTCCGAGAGGGACTGTGTCCGCATGCCGGAGAACGCCGCCGGTCATTCCAGCAACCGACGTCTGGAAAGTGCACTCAGAGCCAGGCCACCGTGAAGGATCTGGTGCAGCACAAGTGATTAGTGAAAGGCGAGGACCAATGAGTAAGCCAGCGGTGGTGCCACTCGGAGTCTTTGGTGTGGTTTGGTAATCATCCCTGTGGTCTTGTCCTCACGCTGGTATTTCCACCAGTGCCCCAGTGCTTTTGCACAGCCCCGTCCCCAAGAGGCCGTGTAGTTGGATATCTTGGTTCTGATGAAAATGTTATTACTTTATGTCCAGACACATGAATGCAGCACAGGTATTGTCGTATGATTAAATTTGGGAGTCATAGAGTCAACTGCTAATCTTTAAAGATTAAAAGGGAGTAATACACTATTGGAGCATGTGCGTGGTGAACTAGACTGTGATACCTCTGAAACGTGTAGAAGCATTCGTACAGCTTTCTAGATAAAATTTTGGCAGGATATTTCAGCTAGTGTTTAATTTATAGCAGCAGTACATGGAACAAGAAAGTTCCTGGGGACATATTTAACTGATAAAGAGATTGATATATCTTAAGCTGACTTCGGGTTTGGGAGTTTATTCCTATATTTAGCAGCTTGTTCCCATTTCCCTTTAACATCATGTGTTGGCCCCTTTCTTGTGAGTCTGTTACCAGCAGTTTCAGGCTCAGGGCCTCAATTCCCAGCATCTTCTCTCAAACCAGAAACATTTTATGTTCCAGATATTTTATCGAACGACCTAACACCATAAAATCACTTATTTTATGCGAAAACTATTTTATGTTTCACAATTTTTTAAGCTTAATTTTATTTTAGGATCTGCGGTTTGTAGTATTGTTAGTCGTAAGGTTTCATGCATAAAATAATTAAAATAATTCTATACCTACCCACCTGTTTCCCAGCCTTTAATGATTGGTAGGAGTGGGGAGATTTTTCAGAGTGGACTTAAGTGTGGTTCCACTTTTTTTTTTCTTTTTGGGTCACACCTGGCGATGCACAGGGGTTACTCCTGGCTTATGCACTCAGGAATCACTCCTGGCGGTGTTCAGCGGACCCTATGGGATGCTGGGAATCGAACCCGGGTTGGCTGCGTGCAAGGCAAATGCCCTACCCACTGTGCTATTGCTCCAGCCCCAGTGTGGTTCCGCTTGAACAGGCCAGAAGTCCTCACTTGCTGCCTTTCAACCTTTTCCTTTAGAAGTCTCCTGGACTTGAAGGATAAGTTTAAAAAAGAAAAGTCCTTCTCAACTACTTTACATTTACATTTCAATAGCTCATTTTTTCCCTTTCCCTCCCCATAATAGTAGCTATTTTTCTTTCTTCTTTTTTTTTTTTTAACTTAGAATCAAGTCTTAGCATCAAAGTAATTCACTCGAAATAAGAAAAAATTTGGGACTGGAGCGATAGTACAGTAGGTAGGGCATTTGCCTTGCACGCGGCCAACCCGGGTTCAATCCCCAGCATCCCATATGGTCTCCCGAGCACCACCAGGAGTAATTTCTGAGTGCAGAGCCAGGAGTAACCCCTGAGCATTGCTAGTGTAACCAGAAAAAGCCAAAAGAAGAAAAGAAATAATTATCTGGGGGTCGGAGAGTACAGTGGGTGGGAGCTTGCCTTGTATGCAGCTGACACAGGTTGGGCCCCGAGCACTGCATCTGGTCCCCTGAGCCCTGCCAGGAGTGATTCTGCAGTGTAGACCCAGGAGTGAGCCATGAGCACGCCAGGAATGAGCCAAAGACCAAAAAGAAAGAAATAGTTATACATTTTAAGCCTGATATAGGTAAAATTGAACGAGTAAACTCATTCTAAGATAGGAGTATTGATTATTACATGGTTGATCTTTTGGTAATTTATGTTCTTTTTTTTTTAACAGTTACCCTGATAATATCACCCCTGACACTGAAGATCCAGATCCCAAACCTATGATCATTGGCACCAATAATGTGTTTGAAGTTGGCTGTTGTATCCTTTCCAGTGATTTTGTTGTTGTTGTTGTTGCTGTTTTTGGTTTTTCGTTTTTGGGCAACGCCCAGTGATGCTCGGCAGTTACTCCTGGCAGGGTCTGGGGGACTGTCGGGGATGCAGGGATGGAACCTGACCAGCCGCATACAAGGCAAACATTCTGCGCGCTGTACCATAACTCCAGCCCTTTACAGTGATTTGATTTGGTTTTTACTTTTTTATTGAATCACTGTGATGTAGACCTTACAAAGCTGATCATGACTAGATTTCAGTCATACGGTGTTCCAACACCCATCCCTCCACCAGTGCACATTTCCCAGCACCGCTGTCCCCAGGTTCCCTCCCATCACCCCCTACCCCTGCCCCCCATTACAGTGATTTTATGATAATTTCCAGTTGTCTTAGAACCCAAGTCTTCTCCATAAAAATTGTCATAATTTATCAGATGTACTTGTTGTGCATAATAATTTTTGTGTGTATATAATTACTTTTGAGGGCCTAGGATATTTAGTTCTTTGAAAAGACTTATTTGCAATATAGATAGATAGATAGATATTTATTTATAAAATCCCCTGTCAGTATATGGGTTTTGGTTATTTTTTGGAAAGGGGTGATGTTGTTTTATTCTTACGGTTTTGGGGACTATACCTGGTGATGGTTGGGGTCACTCCTACCTTACTCAGGACCCTGCAGTATGGGGAGCCAGGTCCAGAGCCTCACTCCCTTGACGTCCCCAAGGAACAGGGCGTGTGCCGTTGTTAGACACACACACACACACACACACACACACACACACACGATAACACCCATGCTCCTCTTGCTGCTAGTCCCGCTATAACAAGTGGCAGTGACCGAGTGACCGTCGGTAGAAGCAGAGAAGAAGAGAGTCAGAGGGCCAGAGAGCTCAGCAGGCTGGGCTCGTTGCCTCCCTTGTGGCAGCCCGAGGTTCAATCCCCCAGTTTCTGTGGCTCCCCAAGAAGCAAGCGGGGGAGAGTCCCTGAGCATCACGGGTGTGGCCAAAACCAAACCAAACTCCAAAGCGAAGCTATAATTTGAACACACGGTGTCTAATACCAAGAAATGGTGAGTAAGGATGAAAAATTTCATGCTCCCTTCCCCAGCTCTGTTGCTTCCTTTAAAAAAAAAAAAAAGGTAGGAATATTGCCTTGCATCTGGCCGACCTGAGTTCGATTCCTCCGCCCCTCTCAGAGAGCCCGGCAAGCTACCGAGAGTATCTCGCCCGCACGGCAGAGCCTGGCAAGCTATCCGTGACGTATTCGATATGCCAGACACAGTAACAACAAAGTCTCACGATGGAGACGTTACTGGACCCGCCCGAACAAATCGATGAACGATGGAAGGACAGTGCTATGTGCTACTGCTATTCATTCAGCCACTGATTAAAACTGACTGAAGTGGGCATGAACTCCACATTACTGTTTATTTTTAAAATTTTTTAATTGAATATCCGTGAGATAGACCATTACAAAACTGTTCATAGTCGGGTTTCAGTCATACAATGATCCAGCACCCATCCGTCCACCAGCGCACATTTCCCACCACCAATGACCCCATTTCCCCACCACCATTCCCCACCCCCTCCTTACCCCCCGTTCCCCTTCTATGGGAGGCACTTTCCTTCTTGCTCTCTCTCTCCTTTTCCTTTTGTGCATTAGGGTTTGTGATACAGGTACCAAGAGGTCGTGGTGTTCGTTCAGGGCACTCAGTATTTTTATTGGGACGGTAAGGCTGGACCAGTCGCTTTTTCATTGGGTGGCTGCTTTGAGGTGTGGACGTGACTGCCAAGGCTTCTGAAAATACAGGAAAGTGGGGCGAGGTAGCCCGTCCTGACCCCGAGAGAGCCTGGGGATTTCAGTCACAAAACCTGCACACCAGAATTTTCAGCAGTGTATGTCTTGGTGAGATCCTCCCTGAGACAGTGGAGTCAGGCCAGGAGTGTGGCAGCAGTTTTGGATTGTGGAAGAAAGCAGCTGCCGGGGGCTCTGCTTGGGTGGGCACTAGACTGATCCGAGCCCCTCCTGTTTACCCCAGTCTGTTCAGCCTTGTGTGGGTCTGAGATTAACTGTGGCTTTTGATCTCTTTCCAGATTTTTTTTTTTTTGCTTTTTGGGTCACACCCGGCGATGCTCAGGGGTTACTCCTGGCTCATGCACTCAGGAATTGCTCCTGGTGGTGCTCAGGGGACCATATGGGGTGCTGGGAATCGAACCTGTATTGGCCATGTTGGCTGCGTGCAAGACAAACGCCCTACCCGCTGTGCTATTGCTCCAGCCCCTCAAGATTTATTTATGAGTCTCTGAAGCAAGGCTGAGAAATGAGCTTGTATAGCTGAGCTATATATGTATACACACACACACACACACACACACATATACATACGTATATGTATGTTTATATAGCTGGTTTGTGGGCTTGGCTTCCACATACCTAACCTTTGGCAATTTAATTTTGTGGTAAACTTGGTTCTAAGTAGTTGGAGACTGGCCAAAGGCATAGTGGCAATTTTGGGGTATCAGGAAGCCTGAAGGCACCATCAGACTGCCGATGCACTCGCCCCACAGGTATAGGTTGACCTGCTGGTGGCACCATACCTCCCTCTTGTACTCTTGAAAAAATAGTGGGGCCGGAGCAGTACTACAGTGGATAGAGCATTTGCCTTGCATGCAGCTGACCTGGGTTCCATCCCTGGCATCCCATATGGTCTCCCAAGCACCACCAGGACTGATCTCTGAGTGCAGAGCCAGGAGTGACTCCTGAGCGTCACGGCCTGGTGTGACTTCTTCCCCCACCCCCCAAATAGTGAGATCTTTTTCTGGTGACAGTAAATATTGTTCCCTTTTTCCCTTTTTTGATCTTGGGGCCACACCCAGTGATGTTTTGGGGCTCCTTGGGGACCATGTGGACCAGGGCCCTCCCACGGGCAAAGCATGTACGCAGCAGAAGCGGGCCTAAGTGCATCAGCAGAGGCGGGGCCGGGGGGACACGGGGGAGGCAAGCATACTTTCCATGTCTGCTTAACGCTGGCTCACAGATTCCCAAGCCATGAAAATGGGAGATAATAATGTTATTGAATCCAAAGGTAAGCCTTGGTCTGTTTGAGGGCCATGCCTGGTGGGCCCCAGGTCTCACTCCTGCTTCTGTGCTCAGGGGTCACTTCTGGCAATCTCAGGGGACCCTCTCGGGTGCTGGGGATCCAACCTGGGTTGGTCGTGTGCAAGGCACTTAAATACCCTACCTGTGGTACTGGCTCCGGCCCCGTATTTGGATTTTCATTGTAAAAATGATCACTTCTTTTTTCTTGGTTTTGTATTCTGGGAAACAACTTGAGTATAACTCGGACACAGTACTGTACTTGGAAGAAGGTGGTGTTGGAAGTGGGCTAGAATCACTGTCAGACTCACTGTATACCGTATCAAACCTAATCTACTGGTGTGATTGATCAATAAAAATTTAGCTGTATCCATTTAAATCAGGATTGAATGAAACCATCACGTTCAGAAGAAAGATTGCTGCCCAAAAACTATTGCTGGTAGTGGGGGCCAGAGTGGTAATAGATTGGGTGTGACATTTGCCTCGCATGTGACCAACTTGGATTCGATCCCTGGCATCCCAGATGGCTCCCTGAGCACCGCCAGGGGTAATTCCTGAGTGCAGAACCCACAGTAACCCCTGAGCATCACATTTGTTTGACCCCCAAACAAACCAGCTACATTTTTTAAAAATTTTTCATTTTTAAAAAAATTTTTTTACCTTTATTTATTTATTTAATTTTATTATTTTTTTAATTAGTGAGACATCATGAGGTACAGTTGCAGACTTACAAATTTTTGTGCTTGGGTTTCAGTTATACAGTGATTAAGTTCCCATCCCTCCACCAGTGCCCATTTCCCATCACCACGGATCCCAGTATCCCTCCCACCCCCCATCCCCCCCATCCCACCCTGCCTCTGTGGCATTCTCTTTGGTTCTCTCCCTCCTGTTGGGTGTTGTGCACACCAACTACATTTTAATTACTTTTCCGTAAGTTGAAATCCTCGAGGGGTACCACATCGCACAGATTCTGTGTCTTCTGGCCTTAGGAGGAAGGTTGCCTTGGAGTGTGGCGCAAACCAGACCACCGTTCCCTGGCTCCAGGTTGCTCAGGTTCTGTTAGTTCTGCCCGCTCGGAGCCACGGCAGTGGTTTTGCTTCGTACACATGAGTACATCTCTTGCCCAAGGAGAATTCCGTTTCATCTCAAGGATAAGCACCTGCACTCTGAGGAAGAACTGTGTGCTTGCCCCCTCTTGCTTAGAGACTCTGCCGTAGCCAGCAAAAATGGCCTGTGGCCATAGCCGTCCATCCTGGGTCTCTCATGGTCAGGACCCAGGATGGTGGAAAGAGACCCCTCTGAAGCCCTAAACTGCTCTTCTTTCTGTTATATTTGTGCCACAGCGTACGTAGGCAGAAATGTGATATTGACAAGCGGCTGCATCATTGGGGCCTGCTGTAACCTGAATACCTTTGAGGTCATCCCTGAGAACACAGTAATCTACGGCTCGGACTGCCTCCGCCGGGTGCAGACTGAGCGGCCGCAGGTACTGGACCTCCCCCTGAGAAAGAACTGGGGGCGGAGCGTGGGATGGGACGGTGGGTGACGTGGGGAGGGCTCAGCGGGAGTGCATATGCTGTTGGGTCCCTGGTGCCGCGTGGTCCTCTGAGCAGCTCTGGGTATGGCTGCCATGAATACATAGTGAAAATCTTGGGGCCAGGAATCTGACTTACTAGTCAAAGGTGTATGGCTTGCAGGATGAGGTCCTTGGTTTGACACCGGCACCGCAGATGGATGGGAAAGTTCTTCCTAGGGCTGCTAAGCCTCCCCAAAGGCCACGTGATAGTTTTCATGGTAGTAAATCCACTATTTAAAAGGCAGAAGAGACAAAGTCAAACAGAGAGAAACGTTTCTACGACCGGAATTCATTTGCAGTGGATTTAGTCTTTCATATAAAAAAAAAGTGTAGAGATGAGAGTGACAGATTAGTTATGATAAAAGAAAAATCTAGAGGTAATATTTCTCTAGGTCTTTATGAGTTTTTACTGAGACTGTCGCCAAGCCTTACAAATCCCAATTCACTCCTGAAATATCAGTGTTTGTAACTAGATTACCAGCTTGGTTCCTTGTCTTACTTGACTCACATAGCTTTAAAATAAACACAGCTTGTCTATGTGCATGTTCATTTGGCTCTTTTCCTGGCTTACATGTAATTGTCCCTCCTAAAAACCAAGGTCAAGGACAGAGTGAGGTTAATGTCCAAGGTATATAAGGTTAATACCCAAGATATACAAAGCACAGGTAGAACTTTATAAGAAAAAAAAATACTGAGCCCCATCAAAAAATGGAGAGAACAGAAACTTCTTCAAGACATACAAATGGCCAAAAGGCATATGGAAAAATCGTCTTTGAAGATCAGAGATATAGCACAGCAGGTAGGGCACTTGCCTTGCATGTGGCTGACCTTGGTTCAATCCCTGGGGTCCTGTGTGGTCCTCCAAACCCCAGGAGTGGTATCTGAGTGCACAGCTGGGAGAAATTCCTGAGCACTGCTTGATGTGAGCTAAAAATGAAAGAGAAAGAGGGGCTGGAGCAATAGCACAGAGGGTAGGGCGTTTGCCTTGCACGCGGCCGACCCGGGTTCAATTCCCAGCATCCCATATGGTCCCCTGAGCACCGCCAGGGGTAATTCCTGAGTACAGAGCTAGGAGTAACCCCTGGTGCATTGCCGGGTATGACCCAAAAAGAAAAAAAAAATGAAAGAGAAAGAAAGTTCTGTGATCTGTGGAGATCACTCCAGGGAAATGCAACTCAAAACAACAGTGAGATATCACTTCATACCAGAGAGATTGGTACGCATCAAAAGGGAAGGAAAAAAAAATCCCCCCCCCCAAAAAAAATATCTAACCCAGTGCTGGAATAGATGTGGGGAAGAGGACCCTCATTCACTGCTGGTGGGATGTCAGCTGGGCCAACCTCTTTGGAAATGTTACCGACCCTCCTCAGGAAGCTAGGTATTGACCTTCCATATGATCCAGAAATTCCACTTCTTGGAATTTACCTCGAAGGCTGGAAAAACACAGTGCAGAAAAGACCTTTGCACTCCCATGTTCATTGCAGCATTATTCACAATAGCCAGAATCTGGGAACAACCTAGGTGCCCCCCAAGAGATGACCGCGGATAAAGAAACTGTGTTACATCTACACAGTGGACTGTAAATTCAGCCAGAGAAGGAAGGAAACCGTGCAGTTTGCTGCTGTAGTGCTGGATGACCTCTCTCATGTGCAGGACGTTGTGCAAGAGAGGTAGTAAAGAAGCATGGAAGGGGAATGGCAAGTGCCCCAAACAATAGAAACAAAGGACATGAGAGGGGCTGGAGCAATAGCACAGCGGGTAGGCGTTTGCCTTGCACGCAGCCAACATGGGCGACCCGGGTTCGATTCCCAGCATCCCATATGGTCCCCCAAGCACCGCCAGGAGCAATTCCTGAGTGCATGAGCCAGGAGTAGCCCCTGAGCATCGCCGGGTGTGACCCCAATAAAAAAAAGCAAAGAACATGAGAACTGGTCTTGAGTAGCCCCGCTGCGGGAAAGGTGGGCCCGCAAGATGGACACACAGGTGAACACTATGACAATGGTAAACAGTGATGACCTGGTCACTCTGGAGGAGGGTGGATATGAGAAGGGGGTAAAATGTTATGCATGAAACCGTATCGGTAACAGAATCATAAGCTGCAGTGCCTAAAAGAAAGGTGTGTGTGTGGGGTGGTGGTGGGGGAGCTGCCTGCCATAGAGACAGACTGGAGGCCAGCAGGAAACTGGGCAGAGGGAAGTGGACAGTGGTGAAGGAATTGGCATTGGAACATCGGAAGCCTGAAACTGAGTCACAGAAAACTTTGTAAATCTCAGTGCCTGGACTTAAGGTGGGAGGGGGGGAGAGAGAGAGAGAGAGAGAGAGTCAGGAAGGTAGCTCGAAGCACTTGTGCTTGGAATGGGGAGGGTCCAGATTCAATTCCTAGTACCTGTAGCCCTCTGAGCACTGAGCCAGGAGTAACCCGAGAGCACCAGGTGTGGCCCAGAAACCAAAAAGAAGAAAAATAAGTACACATTTGGAATTCCACTTGAGATTTGGAGAAAAGTAACATCGGGCATTTGCGTGGGAGACATTCTGATCAAAGTTTTGAGCCTAATTGCTTTGCACCTTCAGTATAGACAAGTTACTTGGTTTGGGAGTCACTTCAGCAGTGCTGGAGGCTTACTCCTGACAGTGCTCAGGGATCACTCCTGTAGGCGCTTGTGGGGGCTGGGGGAGGCATATGCAGTGCTGGGCATTGAACTGGGGTCACCTGCGTGTAAGGCAAACGCTTTGGCCCTCCTCTGCCTCTCCAGCCCTTTGATATGCATTCTCTTAGGCCACTTAGCCTCCTCTCCGAAAAGAAAGTACTTTTCAAGAGATTTATAGCTTTTTCTCTGATGCTTAGCTATATTTTATCAGAATTTTTAAAAATTAGTTCCTTCTACAGTATTTTATTTTTATAATATTACAGGGTGATTACAAGACGACTTCTGTAGATTAAAATATCTAGTTCTCCAAAAGGGAATGTCCTGCCACAGAGGCAGGGGGGGATGGGGGGGATGGGGGTGGGAGGGACACTGGGATCCGTGGTGGTGGAGAATGGGCACTGGTGGAGGGATGGGTACTCGATCATTGTATAACCGAAACCCAAGCACAAAAATTTGTAAGTCTACAACTGTACCTCATGGTGTTTCACTAATAAAAATAAAAAAATCTAGTCCCCCCCACCCACACACACACACACCCCGACTCCACTGTTCTGCTTAACACATGATTGAAGAGAAAGAAATGAAGGGAAGAGAGATTAGATTAAGTTGTAGAAGCGTATTTGAAATGTTTAATGCATGACAGTATAGCATGCAGCCTTCCAAGTTTCGTTGCTCAGAAGGGTCATGCAGCGGTTCTTACTTGAAAAACCTTGGTTGGTGGCGAGAGAGAATTCAGCGGGTAGAGCGCTTGCCTCGCACGCAGCCAACCCCGGTCCAAATCTTGGCACTCTGCATGGTCTCCTGAGCCCCACCAGGATTGATCCCTGAGCACAGAGTAAGCCTGGGCATGGTTGGGTGTGGCTTAAAAATTAAAACAAAAAAAAAATGAAAAGCTTGGGCGGGGTGTGGGGGGCTGATGTGGGCCGCATCTGGTCTGGGGTTTGGGAGGCGGTGTGGGTCCCACACAGTGCCAGGGACCAAACGCAGACCTCCAGCAAGCAAAGCACGCACACCAGCCCTTAAACGGACTCTGGCCCAGAGATCTGTATTTTACAGAGGATTCCTCCGACTTAATTGAGTCACAGTGCCCAGGGCAAGGGCATAAAAGTCTCTCTTGTTCACAAGTGCCTCAGCTGTTGTTTCACACTGAGAGAAACACGGGCAACGCTAGGGTGTGAGGAATGAAAATCTCTGCGCGTCGCCGCTGGAGGTCATGTGGCAAGCGATGCATGGGCAGTGATTTCGTTTATGTTTTCTTCTCTCCGTTTTTAAAAAACCAAGGGCCTGCTCCTGACAGGGCCCGAGGTCTCGGGGGTGGGCTGGGGTGAGGTGGCGAGGCCTCAGGTTCGGGGACAGGGTCCAGGCCTGCAGGTGAGGAACATGCGCTCACTCTACGGCCTGAGTCTCCCCCGCCCCCCAGATAGATGTTTTCATATGTAAAATACTTTGGCATTTTATTATTTACCTTAGTATATATTTTCATTGTAAATTAAAAAAAAATATTTACTTCCCTGAGCATCGGGTAAGGAAACACGGAGTGCAAAGCACCTGTGACTCCACGACCTCGTGATAACGTCCTCCTGATTGCTTCATTTGTCAGCTGTTGACTTAGTTTCCTACAAGTCTCAGTTCTTTCCTTCCTTTCTTCATTGCAGTCCTGTGAGCTCCAGTACTGGTAATGATGCTTTCCTGCAGACATCATTCCAGCACTCCCTGCACAGCCAGGCACCCGTTTCCTTCCACCAGGGTCCGAGGGCCCTCCTTTTATTTATTTATTTATTTATTTATTTATTTATTTTTAATGAATCGCCATGAGATGCAGTTACAGACTTACAAACTTTCTCAAATACATTTCAGTCACACAATGATCGAGTACCCATCCCTCCAACAGTGCCCATTCTCCACCACCAATGTTCCCAGTAACCCTCCCGCCACCCCCCCATTCCATCCCCCCATCCCTGCCTCTGTGGCAGTCCATTCCCTTTTACTTTCTCTCTCTCTCTCTCTATGCCACAAATGGTAAAAAGGTAAAGGCCCTCCCGTTGATCGTCGATTTGCTCGAGCGGGCCCAGTAACGTCTCCATTGGAGACTTTGTTGTTACTGTGTCTGACATATCGAATACTCTCGGTAGCTTGCCGGGCTCTCCGAGAGGGGCGGAGGAATCGAACTCGGGTCGGCCATGTTGGCCGCTTGTAAGGCGAACGCCCTACCCGCTGTGCTATCGCTCCAGCCATGCCACAAATGAGTGCAGTCATTCTATTTCTGTCCCTCTCTCTCTGACTCATTTCACTTAGCATGATACTCTCCATGTCGGTCCACATATATGCAAATTTCATGATTTTATCTTTCCTAACAGCTGCATAGTATTCCATTGTGTGGATGTACCAAAGTTTCTTTAACCAATCATCTGTTCTCGGTGAGGGCCCCTCCTTTTTACAGTCACCCCCCACCTCCATACATACATACATAAGATTTTTTTTATAATGTAGGATTACTGGTATTTATTCAGCCATTGATTAAGCTGATTGAATTGGGCATGAATTCCACATTATATTTTTATTCAGAATGTTAATTTTATTATTTTTATTTCCCCCCCTCCCTTTTTATTGATTCACTGTGAGATACAGTTACAAAGCTTTCATGTTTGAGCTTCGGTCATACAATCATCAAACACCCATCTCTTCACCAGTGCACATTTTCCACCACCAAAATTCCCAGTATTTCTCCCCCAACCCCCCCTCCCCATGGAGCGATAGCACAGCGGGTAGGGCGTTCGCCTTACAAGCGGCCAACATGGCCGACCCGAGTTCGATTCCTCCGCCCCTCTCGGAGAGCCCGGCAAGCTACCGAGAGTATTCGATATGCCAGACACAGTAACAACAAAGTCTCCAATGGAGACGTTACTGGGCCCGCTCGAGCAAATCGACAATCAACGGGAGGGCCTTTACCTTTACCTTTAACCCCCCCTCCCCATTCCAACCCTTCCCCTGCCTGTGTGGCAATTTTCCCCATACTCTGTCTCTACTTTGGGTACATTCGATATTTTGACGCCAGTTCCACTACCACTCAAACCTGCCAAGAAGGCAATGGTAGACGATTTGTTTTGTATTGCCTGTTATGGATAGAATATAATGTCCAGGAAATTCTGTGTTGTTCTCTTCCAGTAACTTTAATTTATAGTCTCTGGGTCTTGGCCATTGATGAGATTACATGGCGCCAGAAGTGTGTGTGTGGGGGGGGGGTGGTTGTGGGTGTGACTGCCAAGCTTCTGGAAGACTGGAGACCTGGGGAGAGGAGGTCCAATCCCGATTCAAGTGGGCCTGGAGTTCTCAGTCACAAGTTCCCGCTTACCTCCGTGCCACCGGCCCTAACTACATCTTTTGATCTCTTTCGAGATTTATGGGTCTCTGAAATAAAGCCAGTAAGTGAGCTTATATAGCTGAGCCGGAGGTGGTATGTGGGTGTGGCTCCCACATACCTAACTTTTGGCCATTTAATTTCTTGGTGATCTTGGCCCCAAGTTGTTGAGGTCTGGCCAGAGGCACAGCAGCAATTTGGGGGTATCTGGAAGTCTGAAGACACCATCAGGCTGCTGATGCACGCGCCCTGCAGGTACAGATTGACCTGCTGGCGGCACCATATCCCCACAAGTTAATTCTTAAATCATCATCTTTTTAGCCCCAGACACTGCAGTTGGATTTCCTAATGAAAATCTTACCAAACTACCACCACCTAAAGAAGACTATGAAAGGAAGCTCCACTCCCGTTAAGAACTAAAACAGTTGAGAAGACAGCGCTCATCAGTGGCCCCGTCTCCTGGAGGGCTGCGGTGTTGATGCACTCCTAGCAGTCCAGGGTCAGACCTGTCAGCTTTATTTCATAAAATTAGGAAAGTAACAGGATTTTCATTGTAACTGTCCTCTGTGATTTGTATAAAATGTATTATTTTCCTGTATCTTTATTCTCTCTTAATAATATACCGTCTTAGTTATTCTTTTGTTGTCTAAAATGTTGGCTGCAAATTTTAATTACACAAAGGACCATCCATGATCAGAAAAGGCAGATAGTTGGTTGTGTATTTTTATTCTGTCATATACTAAACTCAATAAAAATGTTGATAACAGAACTTGAGTGAGCATACTCCAATTCATTTTTCTACTCGCATTAACTCTCCCAAAACCAATTTCCATTTTTATTGTGTACTTGCTATAGCAAATCTAATGTGCTTACATTTTTCTTTGGTGGGCTTGGAAAATCGTGTCGCCTATTGGAATTCATCTTCATTCTGTTTCCAAGTGGGGGGTATGGGGGATCGTTTTTTTGGTAAAACAAAAGTAATTGGGAAGGACACGTTCAGTGGAACAAAGAATCAGCAAGAGAATGTCTGATGGGTGGGAAATGGCAGGTGAGGGCCCCTGGTTGCCCAGAGCCCAGCACAGTCTGTCCACCTCGTCCCCAGGAACTGTGGCTCAACTCGTGGTTCAGGCTCAGTGAGGCTTCCCTTCAGAGGTCATTTCCCCGCACGTTTGGCTTGTGCCCGTGGCTGCAGGCAGGAGGCTTCCAGTCTTGACCGTGGGATACTCCCCCCACCACCACCACCACCAATACGGTTGTCTCCTCCTGCCAGGGTGACTGGCTGCTGCCCTCCACTCCCTTCAGATCCAGCAGGAAATACCTAGTCTTCAAACTTGCACCCATCACTGCCACTTGGTCCCCCAGAAGCCAGTCACTCCGTTCATCTCACACCTAAGAGTGGCTGTGAGTTTGCACTATTGGAAGGGAGGAAGACCCGGGACTTCGTGTTCTTATTTTAAAAGCTATTGATGGTCAGAGAGAGAGACCGGATTCAGGCTCCTGCTATCCGTGTGGCAGAACTTGTTTGGTGCCCCGGCACTACATGGCCCCTGGCGCTGCCAGAAACAACCCCCGAGCACAGAGCCAGAAGTCCCTGAGCGCCATCAGGTGAGCTGCATTCCCCCTCTATAAAGTCAACAAGGAAGGCGCCGTAGCATACATGTTTATACCCAGGAGCCTTCCTCAGGCCTGTCAGTGTTGCTTGGGCCTCTGTGCGGGGGACGACTTGATGCTACTAGTGGCCTAGCACCAGACAAACACTGGCAATGGTCTTCATCACAAACCCTCTGGGAAAAAACCCTCACTTGTGAGAAAAAAAAAAAAAACAGTATACTTGCTCTAAATATAATGAAAAATCAGCTGATTGCTCTGATTATAATGAGTTTAATTCAACTTCAATTTAACGAAAAACAACTGAAATCGCTTGGGTATCAGAGGGCACGATTCTCGGTGTTGACAACAGCTTCCTCCTCTCTTCAGCAGTCTTGCCACACTTCATGGCACAACGTTTGTCTTCTTCTTCATAAAGATGGGATCAAGACCCATTCTTGGGCCTTTTCCAAGCAACTCATTTCATTATACAGATTCTCTTTATACTCATATTGGTTTGGTTTTCAACAGTATTGAATTAAATTATGTAATCACTAAATAATACTCCTTGCACAAACAAGTTTGGAAAGAAGTGGCTGAACCTTGGGAAGTATCCGAGTCACTCAGGAGAAGTGACCATCCCTGAAGCACAAATCAGCTTGCGAGCTGTGATAACGGGCACGAATTCTCAGACTGCATTCTTTTTTTTTTTTTTCCTTTTTGGGTCACACCTGGCGATGCACAGGGGTTCCTCCTGGCTCTGCACTCAGGAATTACTCCTGGCAGTGCTCAGGGGGCCATATGGGATGCTGGGAATCGAACCCGGATCAGCTGCGTGCAAGGCAAACGCCCTACCTGCTGTGCTATCACTCCAGCCCCTGCATTCTTTTTTAACTGAGAACAGAGATTGGTTCAAACATCCGAAGCACAGGAAAGCTAACTTTGTTTAAGAACACAGGGCTGCTGAGGGAGGCGTGGGGGGTGTTGGCAAGAGTATGGGGTAGTATGGGGATAAAGGCATTTGCCTTGCATCAAATTCCTGGCACTGCATATATCTACCTCCCACCCCACCCTACCACCAGGAGTGACTCCTGAGTACAGTCAGCTGAGGCCTGAGCTCTGCCGGGGACAACACGAGTTCTGGACGCATGCTCTGTATTCTAGAGCCCAGGTTCAGCCCTAGACACTGCATGGTTCCTTGAGCACCACCACCAAAAAGAAAAAGACCAAAAGGAAACGGTAACGCTGAGTTCGAGACTTAGCAGTCTGGCGTGGTGTTAGCGCTGAGAGGCTCTGGGGAGCAATGTAGACAGAGTTGACCGTGGAGCATCTCTGTGGGCCCATGTGCTGCAGGGATTCCCCTTTTGGGCGTGGTCATTGTCAACGGGCCTTCTTCCAGCGAAGGTCCAAAGATACTCAAACATTTCATCCGAAGGAGGCAGGAAAACAACTACTCTCAGTTTATATTTTTTAAAAAATATTAAAGTCTATGGGCTGGCGCCCTACCGAGGTCACCAGTTGCCCCCCACGAGCGGCTCTCCAGCACGGCCACAGCCCCAGAAGCACAAGGGCTTAATGCAGAACCCAGCAGCTTGGAGCAGAAAAGTGAACGGACTATGCATTGATCCAGGCCATCAAGTCTGCCGGAGGGGAAAGGGTGTTGCCCCATTCGCCCTCTCCTCTCTGGAAAGAAAGATGGCGGCCACATGGGAGCCTTGTGGACAGCAGGTATGAGCCGGGAGTGTGGGGGCGACTAAAACCTCATGGGAAGGGGGGCGTTTCGGTCCGCCCTTCACACCCTACCGAGGCCACCAGTTGCCCCCACGAGCAGCTCTCCAGCACGGCCACAGCCCCAGAAGCACAATGACCTAATGCAGAACCCAGCAGCTTGGAGCAGAAAAGTGAAAGGACTATGCGTTAATCCAGGCAATCATTTCTGCCCAGAGGGGAAAGGGTGTTGCTCCCTTCCGCCCTCCTTCCTCTGGAAAGAAAGATGGCGGCCACATGGGAGCCTTGTGGACAGCAGGTATGAGCCGGGGGTGTGGGGGCGACTAAAACCTCATGGGAAGGGGGGCGTTCTGGTCCGTCCTTCACGCCCTACCGAGGTCACCAGTTGCCCCCCGCGAGCGGCTCTCCAGCACGGCCACGGCCCCAGAAGCACAAGGACTTAATGCAGAACCCAGCAGCTTGGAGCAGAAAAGTGAACAGACTCTGCATTGATCCAGGCCATCAAGTCTGCCGGAGGGGAAAGGGTGTTGCCCCATTCGCCCTCTCCTCTCTGGAACGAAAGATGGCGGCCACATGGGAGCCTTGTGGACAGCAGGTATGAGCCGGGAGTGTGGGGGCGACTAAAACCTCATGGGAAGGGGGGCGTTTCGGTCCGCCCTTCACGCCCTACCGAGGCCACCGGTTGCCCCCCGCGAGCGGCTCTCCAGCACGGCCAGGACTCCAGAACACAGAAACCAATTTCTTAACTATCTGACTTTCAGTAGAAATACTTCCAGGGTCAATAGGTAAAATAGCAGAAATCCAAAACCAACATTTAATTCTTGAACCCAGCTGTAGAAAGCAAATCACGTCACAATGCTTTTTCAGCATGTCTGATTTGGGGGGGGGGGGTAAACTCTAAATAATAGTGGTGAATCTTTTATTGAAACAATGAATCTAATCAAAGCAGATAGAGTGTTAACTAGAATTCATCTGCTTCACAGGGACGGGGAGGGGTGGGGGGTGGGGTTTTATTGGGGTTCTTCATGGTAAAAAATAAGTATTGGTAAAGGGAAATGTGTTTGATATTTGCATGACTGAGACATAAACCTGAAAGCTTTGTAACCTTTCCCACAGTGATTCAATAAATAAATTAAATAAAAAAAAAAAAAAAAGTCTATGGGCTGGAGCAATAGCACAGTGGGTAGGGTGTTTGCCTTGCATGTGGCCGACCCGGGTTCAATTCCCAGTATCCCATAGGGTCCCCCGAGCACTGTCGGGAGTAATTCCTGAGTGCAGAATCAGGAGTAACCCCTATTTATCACCGGGTGTGATCCCTCCCCCCCAAAAAAGTCAGTCAGTAAAAAAAAATCAATAAAATATTGAAGCCCAAAGTAGCCCCTGAGCTACTTTTATGGCTTTGGGCTATGAGGCCCAAACCAAACAAAAACAAATATACGTGGTCCCCGTCAATAGACCCCACTCAAAGGAAAGACCTTAGTCTGACGCCAGAGGAACAATGGATACATGGGCTTGAAAACTTTTTGGACTGATGATGAAGTGTTAAGGGTGTGTTTATGGGTTGGCGTCACTGTCAGTGGTCTGAGCAGAGTAGAGAGGAGTGTGCAGGCGAGGGCCTACAGCCAGATCTGGGAGGGGAACCGCCTGAGACTCGGTGCTTGCTGGGGTTGTGAACATGAGACACAACCTTCTTTTCATAAGTACTGTGGAGTCCCATATCTGGAGACCCCGGGTGCTTGATTTTTATTCTAGCCATTTTAGAACGTAATCACCTATAATATAGCAAAACCTATTAACTGGAAGAATGCTTTCAGATTTTTTTTTCTTTTTGAGTCACACCCAGCAATGCTCAGGGCTTCCTCCTGGCTCTGCAATCAGGAATTACTCCTGGTGGTGCTTGGGGGACCACATGGGATGCTGGGGATTGAACCCCAGGCGGCTGCTTACAGGCAAACGTCCTACCGGCTGGGCTATCGCTCTGGCCCTGGTTTTAGATTTTTTTTTTCAAGTATTCGATATGCCAGACACAGTAACAACAAAGTCTCCAATGGAGACGTTACTGGGCCCGCTCGAGCAAATCGACGATCAACGGGAGGGCCTTTACCTTACCTTTTACCTTATGCAGAAACTAAAAAAAAAAAAAAAGATAATAATTGCACCCTCTTTAGATTCTTAGGTGTGTTAAATTACTGTTTGTGAAATAAAGAAAGGAGTAAACACATTTTCCTAGCAGGCTGTAATTAATACTTGAAATTATAGATTATTTGAGAAGAGAGACTCTGGAGGGAAAGAGTCCTTGGCTAAGATGCTGCTGCCTGCATATCACCACACTTTTCTGTAATTTTATTTTTCTCTCTTTTTCGGTGGGCTGGAGCAATAGCACGGCGGGTAGGGCATTTGCCTTGCATGCAGTCGACCCAGGTTAGATTCCTCTGCCCCTCTAGAGAG